CTATCTGTACAATTTAACTATATTGAATATTGAATTCTGCTTAAGCCAGTACTAGGATGGACAGCAGCTTGCACTAATTGACTAGCGCCGATTCTGCAGCAATTTTAATTTCATCGTATTCTTGATAGAACTTGCATTACTTTCTGTAATATATATATAAATAATATATATAAATAAATAAATAATAAAAAATATAAATAATAATAAGTAAAGCTATTTCCTTACTTATAACAGATAAAGAAACTTTTCCCAGTTCCCCATTGTTTCCGTGTTATGACTATGCGCAAAACGTGAAGTACACATATCCAGACTGCAGCTGATTGAGATATTTCACAGTTGACTGTCTGTCGGTCACACATTACGGCTGTTGTCAATTCTTCGAAAATATTTACAATGTCTAAGATGTACTTACGGCGAGGAGGACAGCTATAATGTGTGTGGTGTTTTTTGTTTTGTTTTGTTTTTTTTATTTTATTTTTATTTTTATTGTTTTTTGTTGTTGTTTTTTTTTGGGGGGGTTACGTCACACCGACCGACACAGTTTATAGTGTATGGTGACGTTCCAGTTTTACTGGTGTAGTAAGACCTCAGGTGCTCTCCCGTGTATTATTTCAGACACGAGCGAGCTATGTTAATCAGTCTATGTGTAATAGAGCATTGACGATCACAGACGTTCAACAACGCCGTCGACAGGTTACAGGGGTCAATGTCTAGAGACAGATAATCAGATATCGAATTCACTCGGACGATCTTAATGCGACATTGAGTGGTCAGATAGCCATCGTCATGTACGTTTGACAGACGCTTGTAAAGTTTCCCACGACCGATATTCAGGTGGGCATGTTTGGCATGGGATTTCATCTCTTTAACTGCCAAAACACAATTCGATGAGTGCCATGGCAGTTTGACTTACTAGTACTATCGTGGTATAATATTGGTTTCGCTTGTGTCCCGTTTGCTCAGAGTCACGGTCATGAATACTCTTCTATGGGTCCATAGGATAAAACTTGTCACCGATGTTTTCAAGAGGAATATATGGGTACTTTACCATGGCTAGCGATTATCCCGGACTGATTACATATTGAACATGTGTGGGGCATTCTTGGAAAATATGTTGATAGACCTGATCCTCCATCTATAACGTTACGTGATCTTCATGCGGCGCTGCAGGAAGAGAGAGACAGACTCTCAGATAGCACACGATCTGTCGCCCTAATAGTACAACATTGTATAAGTAGTATATTTAGTGATTAATAAGACTTGAACTGCATATATAGCTTGTTGCCACAACATAGGGCGGTCCCACAGGATATTAGGGCATGTGAAAGTGATGAGGTTAACAAAAATGATTTTACAAAGTTAAATTTGTTAATGACTTTGTTAAATTGATTTGATTAACACAAAAATCTACGGGTTTTTATAATTATTAGCGGTAAAGGTTTATGTATCTATCTACAATTTGAAGAGTATATATATATGAAGCGATTTAAGTTTATACCCACATGTAAGATGTTCTTAACAAGTAAACAAATCGATCTTTTATGACCGTCCTCGTACTTCTTAACAGAAAATTGTGAAAAGCAGTATAACGTAAATATGTTTATTTTCTCGGATTATATAGAGAATGTTTTTTTTATTCATTATCTTTAGTGTCTATCAATGAGAATAAGTCATATTTTTAATACATCATATCCCTGTCAAAATGAATGAGTAAATTTCAACTACTTCAGTGGCCTAGTAGAAAGAGTTTTAGCCTCTCACTCATGTGGATTTGAGCTCAAATATCACGTATGTCATAGTTAACGACAATGTGACAGTAAAGAGCCACATTTGAAGTATTCCTTACAACGGTTTTGTCTTATTTGTTGTTTTGTCCAAATTTGAATTAAATCTATGATTACGCCACTTTAATTGAAATTCAATCATTTGCCCTTAAAGGTAAATATCATGTAAAGGTCATGTAAATTAAGGCTGTCTATTAATTTTTTAGATATATCTTATATTTCTTTTTTAAAGAGAAAATACTTTTATAATTTTGAATAAAATATGGCTTCAAAGATGATGTGAAATTTTCACAAATAACATTTCAAAACTTCGTATTTTTTTCTTCTTTAGCAGTTGTCATAAATATGTCTCTTTCCCTCAGGCATTATTTCAAATTTATGAAGATTCCATTATATTCAGTTTACATAAAAAGTTGTCTTTCATTTTTATAAAATTAACATATTATTCTCCGTGAATTGATGGAAAGGGTTTTTTCCCTGTTAGTAAGTCTAAATGCAAGATACTATTCAGTATCATTCATATGAGTTTGATGTGAAAGTTCATTGCAAGTCTTAAATTGTGTAGGGGAAAAATGTGTATTTCACAATGTGCGACCGAAAGTGCACCAGAAACCATCATTTCATCATTTAGTATTTAAAGACAGACTAGGATCTAACTCTCGTCCATGTGTTTAAATCTGACATTTTCCTGGAAATGTAGAAACGTTACAATAAGGGACAATACATCAGAAACCTCTATCTAATATGTAGATTTTTTTCAGTAATCGACTTTAATTTTTTAAAAAAACCTAGCTTGTTGTTCTTATGTCTGAGGTTTTGTGAAAAGAAGTTAACAGCTGTATTTGAAATTAAAGGGACTCAACTGAGGGTGTGTTTTATTTGACGGGACTGAAAATAACTTTTCATTTGTTGTAAGTCTTACACAACACCATATGTGCAAAATTTCAGATCAATTGCTCTCTCCAATTTTTCAGAATAATTGTTCTTATTCTTAGTAACGCTTATCACTCAAATCAAGCTAAGAATAACACAAAAATGCGATCTGAGTATATTTCTAGATTTCCCTGTGCATATTTTGCTGTTTTAAATGCCCCAGCTGATTAATGTAAGAAATTCAAATTTTAAATTTTCAAGCTTTTGGACCTCAGTGGAGTTCCTTTAAAATGCACTAGATTGCAATTTCCCTAGGTTAGTTTTTTACTGTCACATGTTGACAACGATGGAGATGACATACAACTGAATACAGAACAAACCAACAACTCAATACACTATCTATAATTTTATTTACAAGGAAATGAAATGCAGGATTTCTTATAGTAATACTATAAACTACGAGCAAAAAATGTACAAGATATATTACCATGAAAAATTTCAATCAATGCTTATATATAAAAGTTAAAACATTCGTTTCATTATAAGTGGCTCCCATCCAAAAATCAAGGATCGCAGGTCCTTGTTGCTAGTCAACAGCTCAATACTCTTCCAGGGCGCAAAGGTGTAGACACGCAGTTATCCGTTCCACGCCGACATTTTGGTTGGTAAAATTAAAGAGATTCCAATAAATTGATACACCTAAACATGTTACGATGAAGCAACTTGCTTTAAGTATAAAGCTTAGATATAAAACACTATATGGTAAACCATGATGGATAAAAAAATATGTTTCATAAATATAGGTATATAATATAACACTTAGGTATCATACTACGGTAATACACAAACACAATATAAAAATGTTTCTTTAGAGACATCAATTGAATACGCCGCTTCGTTTGTTTCATTATATAATCACTTAATTTCACACATTCGCTCATAATAATCTATTAAACATATACGTACAGCAAACTGAATTATCAATTCAACATTAAATAAATATATGCAATAAGCAAGCAAAGCTACGTCGAATTCGTTTGTAAATTTGTATACTTTAAACATACATTTCCTCATCGAAAATACAAAATAAAGTTTTGAATTTTAACTACAGGCTAGCATATATTAGTTAGTATATTATTATACAAAACTAATTCATTAAAGCGGATGCGCAATTCTTAACTAATTCAATTGGTTAGCTTACTTATTAGCACTTACCAAGTTAGTGTTTTGAATTATTTTTATAAACAGTTGATTTACTTGCCCAGTAAGAAGAAGTCGATTTTTCCAGAGTAATGGTTATGTTTAATTTAAATTTACTGAAAACATGCTAAAAATAATTTGAAACACCATAAAAATAAATGCTTAAAATGTATGAAAAATCGAATAAATTACTTCTGCTTACTTTGAATAAGTCTTACAATAATTATATTAGACAGTCATAATACAAAATTACCGAAAATCAATAAAAACCAGAAACCTTGGCATGATTATAAAAAAGACAATGTCAATGCCACGAAACCTGTGTTTTCAATAATAACCATGCTATAAACTTTCATTCCAAATATATTTGTTTTGTTACAAATTTGATTACAATAGTCATTTATTTATATGTTTATCATAGTTTCATCTATACATAGAAACATAGACATATATAAATATACAATACAAACAAAACATACATGTACAGCCATTTTAAATATAATTACAGGACCGTTTACTTCTAAGGGCGACAACTCCCCAGCCCATAACAAAGAAGTACACTGTTTTTTATGCACAGGAGATTTATCTCCCTTAGCTACACACATTTCCTACAGAACAAAATACTTATATTTCACTTTTATATACATAAAATACATGTAAAATCACTTATAGTATCCTTGTTTATCATGTTTAAACTTAAAACGGAATGTAAAGGGATTGAAGTATGATACATTGAAGTATAATAAAATGCCAAAATGCTCCACAGTATAAAACATTGATGTAAAATAATGGTGTGTGATTGATCAGATCAGAGTACATAAAGATTGACAAGGAAACTTTAGGCACATACTAAAACATTAATATCATTAAAACAATCTACTACAGGGGTACTATAAACACTAGGACAATATATCACATATACAAGACAGGGTATTTTATGATCACTAATGATATAAAACAATTTTTCTATTATTTACTAGGATGTTATAGCCTTGATAACCTTATCAATATCAGTTAAATTGTCACAACCATTACAAAGTGTGTTTACCGATTGAAGTAATTCTAATCTAATTGAATAATAAAGAGGGTAATGAAACAATACATGTGCTTCATGCTCAAAGATATTCTTACAATGGAAGCAGAGTCTTTGTTCTACTTGTAGTCCATTATATCTTCCTAGTACAATACCTATTGGAGCTGTCCTACTTCTAAATTTTGCCAAGGCACCTCTGTAAGATCTATTATAAACAACTCTTACATAATGTTCTATTTCAAAATTAGCTTTAAAAGTTTTGTACAATATATTGTTTCTAACTCCAGTTATTGACCAAAGCCATTTTTTAATAAAAGTAACTGTGATAGTGACCTTGATCCTGGCGCAGGGCGGAGGGGGGCACACAAGTGAGGTCTTCATATTAGCTTGCTACATACCAATTATTTTACAATTTGTCATTCAGAACTCTAGTTATTGACCGAAAACTACTTTTTGACAACACGCTTGCCCGTCATTTGCCTCCCTTTAATTGTTTGAGCGCATAAAAGCAATTCGCCTCAGAAAGGGCAAACATGCGCTTGAATAATACAATACAATACAAATACTTTATTCGCTTTAAGGCCTCCGGCCCATGCAAAAACATATATACAGAGAAACAATTTACACAAAATTATAGCATGTGCACAATGTTTAAACATATACTATATAAATTTAACTGAAAATAACTTTTAAGCATAATTTTTTTTTCTGGGAGTTTCTTAATTATCATTTTGTATCTAACACATATTAATTGTTTAACTTCCTTTTTTCAAAAGCGTAATACAAAAATGTTGCTGTACCCTTTATAAGATCATCATTTTTTGTAGACATTAATATATTAAATTTGTTTCGGGTTGGAGCATTTAGTTACTTAATCGGTAAATATAATTTTCTAAGTTCTGAATAAAAATCACAACATAGTAAAAAATGAAATTCATCTTCTCTTACATTCTTAGAACATTTTGTGCATAATCTGTTTTCCCTCAATATCTTTTTATGTCTACCAACCTCAATTTCAAGATCATGTGACCCTATTCTAAAATTTGAGTATATATATCTAAATTTTCTAATGTCTAGAACATCTAAATAACATTCATATGAGAAATTTTCCTTAAACATACCATAAAAAGACAATTTTACATTAGAGGTTACAGATGAATGCCACTCTTGTAGGTATATATCTTTTAACCTATTTTCAAATTGTGCTATAAAGTATTTATCTGATGTAACAGATTGACTTTCCCATACATATCCAAAACCATGACTTTGTAAAAATTTTCTTAAAGATGTAACCCAATTGTCATGTCCCTGTATATCATCATTAAACATCATTAAGTAACACTTTTTAACTAATCTATCGTTTGGCATTTTAATAATTTTTAACCAATAGTTAATACACCTCTTAATGGATATTAAATACATGGGATACCTACCGCAGTCGCCTAATACAGCTACATTGGATGCATTTTGTTTACAACACATAAAGCGTTTGCATGCATAATATTGTACTCGTTCTAGCTCTTCAAATTTACCCATGCCCCAAATTTCAGCCCCATAAAGTAACTGAGGACATATCTTAGTATCAAACAGTTTAAAAAATACTTTCTTATTTAATTGGCCACAATCATACAAGGATTTTAAGATTGATATAAAAACCCTCTTACCCTTTATGCATAACTCGTGTACCATTCTTTTCATAGAAAGTTGTCTTGTAAATGTTAAACCAACGTAACTAAAAGCATTAACAACTTCAATCTGCTTATTTTTATAAGTCCATTTTTCAATTTTACATAATGTACCACCATTTTTAAAAACAACTATTTTTGTTTAACTTTCATTTACTTTAAGTTTATATGTATCGCAAAAAATGACAAAGTATCTAACTGTTTTTGTAAACCAGAAACTGTATCTGAAAGGAGAGCAATATCATCTGCAAACATTAAAGATAAAAGTTGTGTCTCAGACGGGTGTAATTGAATTCCTCTTATGCCACTATCATCTAAAATATGTTGTAATTCATCTATATAGAAAGAGAAAAGAATCGGGCTGGTCAAACAACCTTGTTTTAATCCTACTGAACTTAATATGTAATCACTTCTTTCATTATTACATCTAATACATGCTTTAACGGTTCTATACATACTTTGAAAAGCTATATACAATTTTCCACTGACACCCCCATTTCTAAGTACATTCCAAAGAATTTGTCTATTTATGGTATCAAAACATTTATGAAAATCAATGAATGCAACAAATATCTTTTGTTTTTTATTTTTAACTAGTATGTCGGTTAAAGATTTTAAAATAAATGCATTATCCACAGTTGAGTATCCTGCTTTAAAACCACTCTGGTTTTCAGAAATTTTACTATATATTTGTGCAAAAAAATTCAAACGAGCCACTAAAATCCCACAATATATTTTACCTAAAACATTTTGTAAACTTATACCCCTATAGTTGTCCACATTGTTTATATCCCCTTTTTTGTGAAGTGTTGTTTAAATAGATTCACACCAGGATTCTGGATACTCGCCTGTAGCAAATAGTCGATTAAACAATTTAACAAGTATATGTATAAAGCTATCTATACCGTAAATGAAAAACTCTGGGATTAGATTATCAGGACCTGGTTTTTTACCAGTTTTGATATGCTTTACAGCCATTCTTACTTCATCTTCAGTAATCTCAGAATTAAAAATGTATTGATCAACTTCATTATCTATTTCTTCACTTATCATTTCTAAATTTTCACCAGTATTTTCATCACATTCATAAGGGTTTAGCAGGCCTGTAAAATATTCAAGCCATTCCTGGGTAGAAATATTGTTTACTGTCCTACTTTTCTTGCCAGTCATAGATTTAAGTTTTGACCAAAATGACTTAGGATCGTTAACTTTTGCTGTCAGGTCATCAAGGTTTTGTTTATTGTATTCTCGCATCTTCAAATTACACTTGTTTTTAAACTCATTTCGTTTTAAAAGATATCTTTGCAAATTTATGTCAGACCTACAATTCCTATATTGTCTTAACAGTTTATATTTTTTATTTTTTAAAATCTTACAATCTAAATCGAACCATTTTGGTGATGAAAGAAGCTTAAAATTTGACTTTTTTTTGAAATGCTTACCAATATCAGTTAGACATGTACTAAAATTAGATACAATATTATCGATCCCAACTTGAGTGTCCTCAATGGATTTACAAAAGTTCAACATTACATCTTTTGTGAATAATTCACTCAGTTTCTCTTGATAAACATTCTTATCACTATATGGGATTTTGTAAAACATAAAATTGTTATTCCCTTGGGCATTTAATTTTTCTCTTTCATTTTTATACATTTTCAGCTTTATATTTAATGGAAAATGCTTTGATTCGCCCCTTTCATCAATTTTAAAATCTGTAATATTACTTATCAAATCTTCTGAGCATAATGCATAATCAATTACACTGCAGCCCAAAGTAGAAGTATACGTAAAATGACCAATCTAATAACCAGGATTTTTCTCAAAATTGAAAACAAACTTGGTTAAAATCTCTAAATTTATCAACAGTCTTTTCAAAATTGTTTGTCCGCTGTTAATATATTACAACTTCGTAAACGTCAGTGCAAAACATACACCCTAAAATATTACAAAGTTATAAATTAAAAAAGAACAATAAAATTATGTATGCAAATTTGTATGGTGATAAGGAATTATGTCTTTATATTATTTTTTATTACATACATATGTTTTAAAAGATCAGACATATTTTGATTACGTTGATTTTGTAGTGACTGTTCTATCATTTTTCTTTATGCACACTTGTTTTATCATTTGAAACACACGCCTATTAAAGATAAACGCGAACATTATAAAGACGCCCTGGCCAGCATTCAGTACAATAAACATATAGGAAAACACTACCATGTTTGTCCATGCATACAATAAGCCGAAAATCCATGTTGCTCCAGTTATTGTAGACAGTTTTGCAAATATGAGCAAGTCATTCCTTTCACGTTTAACATTTTTAACTAACGAGGGTGCTCGCTTCAATTTAACAATGACAGCAATAAACATACCTGCATTGGTTAAAATCACGTATGACACCGGAACACCAACCGTTATCATTATTCTTAATTGCGAGGATATGTAGCAGTACATTCCACCGTAACCAAAACCTTCTGACAATATGGTTGCTATGACAACATTAAGAAGAACAAACACTAATGACATTGATATAACATAGACTATGTAATAGACACACGTTTTCACACCAGAACTACTAGACACTATCCTCATTCCTGTCAGTGTCTTATACATATGATACGTACATATATTCATGTAGAATAATGCAGTAAGCCAACTAAAATGCACAAACATGCCAACAACAGCACATGACACTGAATGCCTTTGAAATGAACCAAAACTTCCGATAAGAAACAATACTTGTGAAGACAGCAAACTTGTGATCAATGCCAGCGTATTTTTTCCAGGAACGTTTCGACGTAGTTCATTAAAATAACAATACGTACAAAAAGATATAAATAAAGAAAACAAAGACAAAGAAGAAAATATGATTGATAAAATGAGCTCAACTTCAAATGAATCGTAGTATTTATGACCATTACTCTGTAAACCGCTTACGCATACAATAATGTTTTCGGTACCTTCATAATAATACTGATTCAGGTCGATAACTTGCCCTGATAGGTTAATACCATTTTCTACACGCTGCACTGACTCCTCAGAAAGTGATAAATTAACTTTCGGACATGAAGTATAATGCAGGGTTTTAATTATAGACCGTCTACTTCCTGTTTGGTTGAAATTACATGAAACCATATCTGATTTATAAGCTAGTATTACTGTTAAATTATCTTTGTCCGGGAAGGAACTATCATCTAAATTCTTCAAAACAAGTTCAATGTCTGAATCACCCGTATCATTCTTATGCTTGGGCTCAATTTCAAAAGTTTCTGTTATATTCTGAGGAAAGTCATGCACATCTTTTGCAGTCATACTGAATACAAAATTTTGATTTTCGAAACTTACATGCAAACGTTTGTTATAAATATTTTGTACTGAATCAGCCACATCTTCAATCGTTAGTTTACCTGAACTTTCTATTTTCATATCCAGCTCACCATGAATAAATGCCGACTCGGAAATATAAAGCGTGTCCGATCCAAAACGAGCACTTGACTTGAGAAATAAACTTAATTCACACACTGAATGATTTGCATCAGTAAAATTAACGTCGCTGTTAACTACCTGTTTCACAGCGTCTATTAATGAAAGTCTTACATCAAAAACTTCTTTAATCGTCATCTTCCTCTCACTATGTATCCGTAGATTGATTATATATATAACATCAGTAATGATGTACTCAAACATGTTGACACACTGTCCATTCTGAACACTTGATAACGGATTGCACAAAGTGTTGGCGTCTTTTTCCTTGACAAAAAATAAGTAAAACATAATTATGTTAATTACAGATACAAAAATTCAATATACATTATGTAGCCTTGCAAATACATGTGTACTTGCTATATATGTATACAAGGTATGTAACACTTAACGAAATATTGTTAGTGTTGCTGTTACTGCTCCTATTGTTGTTTTTGCGGTGTTGTTGTAAATTATTAATAAATAATGGCATTAGCAGGCTAATTTTTATCATATTACCCAGTATAAATTTTATCCCTAAAACACACGAAAATCATGAAGGGCTTATGTGTTTAAACAGATAGATTAATTTCGTATTATGTTAGTGACAAATACTGTACCATATAAGGAATTGCAATTATTTTCTTTGGTCCCCATCTTGTTTGTGCATTGAGTAGTACCGTTTCTACCCAGGGCGTTGCCTTTTTTTTTTTCTTTTTTTTTTTGTTAAAATAATACACTTATCCGTTCCTCAAATTTCTTTTTCTTGACAGATAAATTTCTGTTCAAAAAATTTAAAGCAAGTTAATTTAAAATTTGTCTTAAAATATGTAGGTATAGAATATTAAAATGATAATTATGTTGTATTAGCTTTCTTTCGACCTGAGACGCTGCTTGAAGCAAATACCTTACAAATCAACTACAACATAACATTTCGTGTTTAAAAGCCTCACGCAGAGTTTGTTTTAAAAAAAACGTATTTTGTATCAATCAAAATAAAAATGATTGATACTCATTCCTCATACAGTTTCTAATATTTTTTTATGAATTTTCAAATAATTTTGTAGAAATATTCTTTTATAACAATATTTGATATTTGTTCAGGCAGGAAAACGTCCTCAAAGGAAATTTACACTTACCTCAGAATAATAAAATCCTCGAAAGTCTAACGGTCTAATAGAACGTAACTGAGTATCATATAAGCTAATTAGTCCAGTAAATGAATAAAACCCTTGTTCGCCTCTTTCACCTAAATGTCCGGAGGCTCCCACGGGCAAATTATCATAACCTGCTTGGCCGTTAATAATGACGCCCATAGCTCCATTTTGCTGCGCTACTATTGTTACATTCATTTATAGCAGGGAACTTTTCATTGCACAATAAACAAAATATATTCTGATAATTCCGACCACCGTAAACGACAATGGATCTGTAAGTTAAACAACCTGCCTCAACATTGTGATCGTATCGTTCCCAATACCCTGTAATATTGCACCGTGAGACAGCACTTCTACAAGACATCAATGGAACAGCCTCGTCTCCAGGTATCTCAAACTTTATATTACAAACTGTTTTAACGTCAGAAGGTACAAAATTACTTTTTATGTCACTGTAAAAATGATCTCCACATTTTACCATTGGTTTCCAAAATTCGCAATTTGCTGGCTCAATATTATTGCAAAGGGCGCAATAAACGTTCCTGTAAGTAATTGATGTCACATGATTATAAACTGGGAGATAATTTATGAATTCTTCAAAGTTGATGTCGTACACACGTGTACAGTTATTTTTAAGTTCCGAGTCTTGTGTCCATGGACATGTTGACACCATGAAATAACCAGTTTCTTGTTCACTGTAAGTCGGTATCACACGTATAGGTTCGCAAGTTGGTATTTCGGGAAATGAATCCTGTATTGAAGTGTTCATGGGTTTACTGAGATTAAATACTGTAAGGTCCATACCAGTATATTGTAGATAGTTTGGTGGGAGGATATCAGGACAACAATTTCTTGTTTCCATGCATGTCTCGGAATCACAGGAACAGTCCTCACAACATTTATCATCTCTTATACTTGCATTCATCCAGCATAAATTAATGCCCGGACAAAACCGTATTTGATTTGAAATTAAAAACTGTCTATGGCTGCCATTATTCGGCGAAAGATAAAAACTGGCTTTCTCCTCAATAATTTCCTCTAATGCCAGTTTTGAATTATTAATAGAAATAGGACTGGAAAAGTTTATAATTATTTTCTCAATTTCTGGAGGAGACGATAAGTCCACTTTATACGTTTTTAACACTATCCTGGTTTTGTTATCATCTTGTGATGACGGTTCAATTGGCGAGATAGTCATCCCCAAAACAGAAACATTTGTCAATTTCGATATTGCCAAGTTAATGTACATGAAACTATACAACACACATTTAAAATATCCCTTTTCAGAAGACATCTTGAAATTTTGTTGATCTTTTTTAAATAATATTGCATAATTCCGACCGCTTCTACTAGTCATGGAATGTGAAGGGATTTTTTGCGTTTTACGCCACATTTATACTCATAGCTAAATGTCATGAACCACAGCTTAATATAATGGGGAAAAACGTTTTACTAATTAGATTTCATAACTAATAACCGTTTTTATATAATATGTCCTAATTTGTTCATTCGTGATTGCTATATTGGGATACAGTAAAAGGGCCATGCAATTATTTCGGCAACGATGTAAGTTTAGTATTTCAATACTGGAGTATTTGACATTTGCAGCCAAATTAGCCTAATTCAGCATCATATAAATAATTGAAATGATCTCCTAAACACATTTAACAGAGCTAATAGTTTCCAAATAAAAAATACAAAATGCGATCGTTTTGTTAGATTAGGATTACGTTAGCCTGCTTAACGTGCGTACTGAATATAGTAATAAAGTTGGCTTTTTAAAACAAACAAACAAACAAACAAACAAAAATAAACATCCTCCTTTTATAGCTTAGCAATTAGTCAGCAGAACGAGGACAAACATTTAAAACATTATCTATAAGTCTGACTATTGCAAAAGTGCAATGTATAACAAGTGAGGTCTCCAATGCAAATAAAGGAGAAAAAGTGAACGTTTTAGTGTACCTAAGAGTTCAGTTCCTCCTTAAGTCCGTACCCGTTAACGACGGACTCATAAATGTTATGAGATAGCCAGAAATGTATGTATAAGTTTTGAACCTGAATTACACTTTCGACCGTTGTTTTAATCTTTACTGAATATCAGCTAATCACCACACAAGAAAGGGAACAAAGCAAGCAGGGTTTGGAAACTATATTTGTTACAAATGTAAAAAAAAGTGTTTTAAGCAACATATATGTAACGCCAGTAACATTTGTAGTATTTTAATAAACCCATTAACCTCACGGAGTCATTGTCATAGGCGTCTGTTTCCAATGTAAATTATTGGGACAACAAAAGAATATTCATACACATTAAAATTATATTTGTTATAGCAACTTTTGTCATAATAATATTAATTTCTAATATCTATGCACATTGAGAAGTTCATAAAACTTCATTTGATCCGAGATCATATAACCTTCTTGACTATTTTAACGTTTAAAATTTGTGTTGTTTGAAGGAGATCTATTTTATCTCAACTGCCATTATTTTGCCTTGTTTTTCTTTAAGACTGACAATTTCATTTATTGTAAAGCCAAACGTCACAAAACCCTAGTTTAAAAGCTTAAAGATATACTATGCTCAAATACTGATATTTGTAATATAAAATAAACATATTTTAACTTCAAACAAAGTAGATATGTCATGTTTAAATTCTAAACACCACAAGTGGTCACAGTACTAATATAAAGTGTCATTTAAGAATAATCAATGTAAATAATGTTATATGGTCCCACCAGCTTGACTCATCCCTCGCTGAATATTTCTTTGAAATAAACTCCCTGTATTCCATTACAAAAATTATATGAAACATGTTTTTCCGATACGCCTCCCTGTTCACTGTAACATCAAAATGTCCTCCTCACACATGACTTCAATGTTGCATGACTGGGTATAAAATGATTCCTAGCCAGTCATATCTCTATGTAAAAGTCATTTTTTTACTCTCCAAACAAATTACAAGAAAAACTTTCAATTTCATATCATTTTTATTCTTCAAAGTAACAAGTCAAATTCAATAACAGATAAATATTTCATCAAACTGAAAATGTCAATGAGTGGTGCAATTAACATAAAAGAGAGTGCAATTAATAATAGTTACTAATAACTGTGATATCATTATACTAATTACTAATATGACATTTAATGATATTTTCACATGCTACATCAAATATTTGATGTAATATCACACACTATAACATATATAACTTGTAAAATGCATAAACTATCAATTAATTTAGGAAAATGAAAGAGTTATTGATAATATACCAACAGCTTTTTGCTGATTAAACAGTGTAGGGTTAACCGTTTGTTAGTTTTTTGTGTTTTTTTTAAATACCAAACAAGGGCAACATTGTCGCAATATACGCCCATCACAGAAGCTTTTGACAGAGATGTGGGCATTATAGATATGCATATAGGAGATAAGCTCTGGGCAATATCTGGATATATAATTATCTCTAGTGATTTTTTATCTCAACTTTGACCCTTATGTGAGACCTTGACCTTAGCCACAGGGACCTAAATTTTTAGTGCGACACTACGCCTAACAATACTGAACATTTGTGCCAAGTTATATTGAGATCCCTCTATGCATGTAGATATTTTGCTCCGGACAAGCGTTTTTCAATGACCTCTTAGTGAGACCTTGACCTGTGACCTAGAGACCTGGTTCATGCACGAGACACAGCTTCTCATAGTGGTGAACATTTGTATGACGTTTCATAACAGTCTCTCTGTATGTGTAGGAGATATGCTCTGGACAAAATCTCTATATTTTATCATCTTTAGTGACCTTGACCTTGCATATAGTAACATTAATTACATGTTTCACACCAGTAGTCATGAAAAGGATCATTTGTGTTTCAATCCCTCAATAAATGATAACTAAATGGTCCCAATACACATTTTTATTTTTTACCTGAACTTTGACCCCTATGTGTGACCTTGACCTTGGCTGCAGGGACCTAAATTTTGCACATGACACTCCACCTCACAATAAAGAACGTTTGTGCCAAGTTATATTGAAATCCCTCTATCTGCCAATTACCAGCTCTTACTATTATAAAACTATCTGCCATACCTACTCTTACTATTGTAAAACTATCTGCCATACCAATGCTTACTATTGTAAAACTATCTGCCATACCAACTCTTACTATTGTAAAACTATCTGCCATACCAATGCTTACTATTGTAAAACTATCTGCCATACCAACACTTACTATTGTAAAACTTTCTGCCATACCAATGCTTACTTTTGTAAAAATATCTGCCATATCAACTCTTACCATTGTTAAACAATCTGCCATACCAATGCTTACTATTATAAAACTATCTGCCATACCAACTCGTAGAATGCATTCTGTTCTGGAAGCACAGATTATAATTCATTACATTTGGCAAGGAAAATGAAACTAAAATATGATCAACACGTTAAGATTACATTAACTATGGTCCATATATAAATTATCTTATTTTCTTCATCTCACATTCAAATGTCATGTTACCGTATATTAGTAAAAGCAGTTTAAATAAACAAGGGATTTTAACTATCCACTAATAAACTGACACCCAACTGACCATGTTTCATACATAAACAACACAAATGCCATGGTGAAAATTAATTGTAAAGTACTAAATGGAAGGCTACACATAATTATTCAATAAATAAATTGAATCATACAAGTTAGTAACTTATAAGACCAATGAAAATAAAATTTACAACATATTCTTGTACAAATGTTGATATGAATTCCTTTAAAAGGCCATGTTTATTCATGATTGTCAAAGATGGAAGATGTTTGGTTTATTATAATAAAACCTTAACCACCAATCAGATAACTTGTTATAGATCATAAGTTTTACGCACACAGGGAGGTCTATATTTAAATAAAATTACTTTGTTCCTCAAGTAATTATCAGGCACCTGTCTTAGCTTACTTTTAATTACTGAAGATTAATGGACATCAGTATAATATCATATGTACAATGATAAAGTACAGTAGAACTCTGATGTGTCAAACTTTAATTAGTTGACTTTCTCAATGTGTGGAAAAAAAGTCCTGATTCTACAAAAATAAATTCCTAATGAAAAACATACAAGATGTATATTTTTAGCACGTTTTAAGATATTCATCAAACCTGTCCTGGCTTTATTGACAAACAAATGTATGACACAGCCGCTGTGTTCTAATAGGCTCCTTATTTGTTTCTATGTATGAGATTATGTTATAATTATAACTACTCTAATTGCAATGGTATGATCACAATATATTCTCCAGTGTATATTTACAAATTAGTCTGTAACGTATACTTCTGCTGATATTTACATGTTGATTAGCTAAGACCAGATGTCACGTGATAATCATATGGGATATAAAGTTACTGTAAACTTAAATTATTGCCCTCTCATTTTGTTACTGATCATGATTTGTTATATTATACAATGTGCCACAATATATATTTCTTGTTGAATGCAACATGATTTGGCCTGCAACACCAACTAATATTTTGCTATCATCTTGCAGAACTATTGCTAATGCTACATAAATAATTTAGTACACATGTTAAAAAAACTGTTACCAACAGTGTCACACTGTAGATTACTAACTTGCAGAAACATGATTTGGCATGTTACACACTGTAAGAAACAGTTTTATTTCATATTTTGCCATATTTAACGTTTCTTTCTATATGCAACAAGATGTTACATCAAAGTTACACACTACAAAGTTTTTGTTTTTATTCATAGTAATACACTAGACAAATATTGCCGCACTTTTACATGGAATGTCACATCAAGTCTCATTAACTACTATTCTGTGAAACAGTTCTTGTTCTGAACCTGCGAGGCATTCTACGGTTTTCAAAGTCCTTCAGGAGATCACTTGATAATATTTCGTTTGCAGATGGTCGGTCCTCAGGCTTCGGAGACAGTAACCATTTTACAAAGTTAGCCTGAAATTATTACACATTGTTACAGTAATAAAATTGCAATTATGACACAATAAAACTGTAATAACTTATAGCATCAAATAAATATATGTACATGTCATACATTATTATTATAAAAGAAAACAAAATCAGGAAAAAAAAACATAGAACTTTAAAAATTTAAACCACAAGAAAACTGAAATGTAGTTATCACAAATGAAAATTTACTTTAAGAATATACTAACATAATTTTAGTATGATAGATTTGTTCAATCTGTACAACCAATAATATATGTGTTGCCAGAAGATACTATGACTGTGTAAAAGCTACAAGACAAAACCTAGTTAGAAACAGATAGCAAGAGGGCAATGATTTTACCTGTAGCCCTGCGCACATGCCTTGAAATTTAAGCCCAAGCAATGCTTTAATCTTTTATTTCTCAAAAGCTTTTTTATTTTGGTGACTGCCCTGTTAAGTTTATAAAAATTTCCTCAATGATGATATCCCTGAATGTTCTATTGCTTCTGTTACTTTCTGGCAGTAAGCATGTAGTTATAGTGATTCAATAATTTTGCAAGGAAGTCAAATACCCCTTTTTATTTTGCTACTTTTCTGACAGATAATTTCAAATTTACTTTCATCTGGTGAAGAGCATCCAACATGCTCTAAATCTAAATCTATTCTTTAAACATTATCAAACAAATGTTTGTCTTGTCTAAAGAGTGGGAAATGTAATTATTTCAAGGCTTAATGTATCTTTTATATTGTTCTGGTTAGACTTTATACCATCATACCAGCCAAGCAAAAAAACCTGATAACAGGTTTTATACTAGGCAAGTGAACAACACAACTAATGATTGACAGCAAGTGAACAACACAATTTATGATAGACAGGTTTAATACTAGGCAAGTGAACAACACCTAGCGAACAACACAACTTATGATTGACAGCAAGTGAACAACACAATTTATGATAGACAAGTTTCATACTAGGCAAGTGAACAACACTTAGCGAACAACACAACTTATGATTGACAGCAATTGAATGACACAACTTATGATAGACAAGTTTAATACTAGGCAAGTGAACACAAAACTTATTATTAACAGGTTTAATACTAGTCAAGTGAACAACACAACTTATGATTGACAGGTTTAATACTAGTCAAGTGAACAACACAACTGATGATTGACAGGTTTAATACTAGTCAAGTGAACAACACAACTTATGATTGTCAGGTTAAATACTAGTCAAGTGAACAACACAACTGATGATTGACAGGTTTAATACTAGTCAAGTGAACAACACAACTTATGATTGTCAGGTTTAATACTAGGCAAGTGAACAACACAGCTGATGATTATCAGGTTTAATACTAGCCAAGTGAACAACACAACTGATGATAGACAGGTTTAATACTAGCCAAGTGAACAACACAACTTATGATTGTGAGGTTTAATACAAGGCAAGTGAACAGCACAACTGATGATTGACAGGTTTATACACTTACCTCATATTGCATCTCTCTAGAAAATCTATCAGGAAAGTTTTGTTGGCGTACTTTCAGCAATGTACTGACCCGTTCCATCTGTGTGGCAAATGGGTAGAGCAATTCAAAAAGGATCACACCCAGACTGTAGATATCTACCTTGTGTGAATACACCTTACCACTTGTCTGTAAGTAGAAATATATATAAGATAATAAATAAGCTGTTATATAGAGTTCACACAAAAAATATAAGAACAGTCATATAGAAAATCCCTTGAAAATGTAAAAAAAAAAATTCCATTGAAAAGGTAGAAAACCTCCTGTCATCCAAAAAAGAGGAAATTAAACAAAATATATCAAATCCTTTGAAAATGTAGAAAATCACATGAATTTGTTTTTTTTTTAAATCCCTTGAAAATATAGTAAATTCCTTGAAATGTAAATATACCAAATGGGAATTTTATAATAATTGACATCAACTTTGGGCAAGATTAATATGGTTATGGGGAGATAACTCACTTGTTCAGGGCTCATATAGAGCTGTGTTCCCACTTGAGCTGTATGTTTCCTATATGGGTTACCCCCATATAACATTTCATTCTGCTCCTCAGGTAGGGCTGTGACCAGACCAAAATCTCCCATCTTTATGACCCCGTCAATAGAGAAAAATATATTGGAAGGCTGAAATAAGAACAAAATCACAATAATATCATGTTACGGAAATAACAAAATAAATAGCTGAACTGAAAACATAGCATTAATACAGCAAAAAATACAGGAAATTTCATAGAAGCTGTCAATAAGGATTATATGAACTCGCGATTATCCAATGAGAAGTAATGTTACAAACATGCAGTATTATTAACATACTGATAAATGTCAAATGGTAAAATAACAAGATGACATAATTATTATTATTGCATGATATAATGATTGATATTTAAAGGTTATTATGCAAATATTTTGACCGGAGACTTGTAATCAGGTAATTCAAGTTCCTAGCTAGGTTTACAAGTAATAGAGAGGTACCCAAGGGATATTGCCTTGCAAAAATCTATGAGAGTGAAATACACATCAAAAAATAAGGTTAATTTTACTAACAAACCCTTATCGGATATAACCCTAAAATTGTTGCTTTTTAAACAAATCTTTAATTAATAGAAATTTTAGTTTCAGTTTCATAGAATTTTTTCTACACAGTATCATATTAATCTCATATTACAAATATAGCAAAGTTATGGTAAAATAACAGCTATTTTAACAGTACAGTTATGCCACATTCCCTGTGTAATGGTGTTTTATTATTTAAGTTACACAAGTTTGTAATATAAAATGAACAAATCTTCCAGCATATGATATATGTCTGTATCTGATTTGTATCTCATATATATCTTCCAGTGAGATATTGAAAAATAACAGTGGAATATAAATCATACCATGCTGAAAATTAGTATCCTGTTCTGTATGCAAAGAAGAACATATCAAAGACAGGGCTTTGATGACGTGAAAGATAAATGTTAGATAATGTTAGACTAGCCTCTATAATGTTGGCAGCTCGATTTTAGTGTAATGATATCTAAATCCCTTTAAGATTTAAAGCAGCACGCCTCCAGATTCATGTTAAATTTCATGAAAATTTTGATAATGTATTTGACAGTAAAATATTGTGAGGTGAACAAATAAAGTTATTAACATATTGCAATGCAGTAATTACAGCCATATTACCAAAAAGAGTCAAATTGCAAAAGCCTTACTGCGTGTAAAGTGAATAGTGATATAATCTGCAAACTTTAATGCATACAGTAACTTTAATTGTTCGTGTAACCTTATTGATTTATACATTTCAATTCACCTTGAAATTGGCTCTGAGGCATGAGTAATGATTTCAAATTCAAGGCAGGCAAATCCATAACAATTCAATGATTAACAATAACATATTTAATTACCTTTAAATCTCTGTGCATGAGTCCACAGTCATGAACATATTCTATAGCACAAACTATCTGATCAAACATGTCCAGTACCATGTGCCTATCTCTGTTCAACGTATTTGATGCCAACCAATCTTTCAACGTCTCGCGTTTACAAAGCTGCATTTGTATATACAAGTAAGACAACTTTGCTTTATGATGTTTCTCATTCTTATCAACATCTTTTGTCTCATGCTTAGCTGAAGGTTTCACTTCTGATTCAATAGTGAAATTTGCAACGTCTTTTGACATTGAGCGCGAGTTTGTCCTTGAATGTGTTTTTGAACTATTTTTGGGACAGAAGCATTTGCTTCCAGCACTTGATGAAAGTTTACATTTTCCGTTACTACAACTTAGATGGGAACTCTCTGTGAAATCAGACTGGTTTGTTATGTCAACACAAACATCTTCTGCTGAATTCTTAGAACTTTTATCACCACACCCTGAATCCTCAAATATAATATGAAATGAATTATTTGTGTCTTCTATAGGTATATCATCAATGGACTCTGATATATTAGAAAATAATGGAATGTGTTGGCTAGTTTTGGAATTATTATTGGTAGTGGAATTTTCATCAGCACTGTGTCTAAACTCTATATCAACGGACTCGTCTATATGTGCACCTGCCGAGTTAGGAGTTCCCATCCCACAACTAAATGAACCACTCTCATCATCGTCCTCCTTCAACCATAACGATGGCTGCGTACTGAACGACAGGTTCCCATCCTCATCAATATCCCACTGACTCTCACTAACATTATGAACTGAAAACTCTTCACTACCTCCTCGTTTTATATCCAACTCATTTAATTCAAGAATATTATTTCCAAAAGGATTTTTAAGCAAATGTGTTGGGCTCTGATTCATATTTTGTACAATATTTGTCTCTACTTTGAGCAGATTGTTGTTTGCAGGGTCAATTTCTGATTTTGAAGGTGAGCCTTTGTGAATAGAGCTTGGTGACTGTGTAATGACAGAAGGGGAAGTAGCACCTTCACTGAAAAAAGAAACGGAAAATTGACATAAAAAAAACAACTGAGTTTAAAATACTTAAATGACAGATATTTCACAATATGCTACAACATTTTAAAGAATATTTAAAAATTTGTTTTTATCTGTTTGACACTGCTTAATTCTGACCACCACATAATGAAATGATTAACAAGTATTAGATAACTATCCTCAGTGCATGACAAAAAGAAAACAGGCATAGATCTGTGAAAAAGTGATTTAGAGTTATGGGACCTGTGCCTGTCATGTTAGATAATCACAAAGAACAAACTGAATGTCTGGTTTCTAAATTTTTACAAGCAAAAGGGAGAATATTCAATCCTTTTATTTAAGTGAGGAAGAGTAACTTCCCTTTCCGGATGTGACGTAAATGTGGGACATCTATCACTGGCCAGAGCTAGTGTATGATTCTTCAACACCAAACTGAGCTAACTCAAACCAATATAGACATCACCTTAGTGTGAAATACCGCCCTGGTTTCTGGATTCTTCCAGGTCAAAGGGAGATAACTCAATTTTATCACTAACCTGTACTCTAATTGCTGGTCTCTTTCTTCCTGCCAGCCAGGGGGAGGTGACTCTATCCAGGCATGATAATATCTAACTATACCAACATGATCAAGTTTGGCTAGAGCTTTAACTTCCCTTTTAACTTTCTCCTTTGCATTTTCACTGAAATTTATATCATACAATATACATTATAAAATTGCAGCACATAATAAATATGAAATATAATCCATAAAATGTCAAAGGTTATACATATTTCCTTATATTTTTGTACAATTTTGTTAAATATTTTCCTAAATTAAGGTTATACTAATTATTGAACAGTTCGAACCTGTGTTCCTATTTCATTGATCAAATTTTCATATTTTACTCTTTAAAGGCATTTATATATTGTAAAAAAAAATCAAAGAAAGTAAAGTAGAATATCAATTATTTTCTTCTATATTTTAACCTATATTTATAAATCCAAATTTGTATCAACCCAAAATTTTGTACCTTAAATACAGAATACTTTCGGGGATAATTGTAATTTCATAATAGAATTTTATTGATTTTACAACTTTATATCATTTAAAACTTTTTTCATAATCTGATGATGAATTAAGCTTAGTCATAACAAAATAATCATACATAGTTTGAGTTAAGTTTTAAGTTCAAATGGTGAAAAAAAATTTCGGCACATTCTAGTCAATACTTATTGCGAACTAACATTAACATTCAGATTAAAATATTTTATTTATTTATTTTCCTGCAAATTTATATTGTCCTTTAATTTGAAAAATACCATTAAAGATACTGATGGAACAGTATTTACTGGCAATTAAAACAGTACGGCCGAAGTACCAGTTTATCAGTATCCTACCCTACCATCAGAGTGTGAACAAACAGGCAACATCAATATAATACACAATAAAGAATACAAGTAATAAAACAATGTTTCTCAGTTAAACAGCAATATGTCTCTTATCTTTCTTACTCTCACAGGCAAAGAAATACTACAAAAAAACTATTCTTATCTTTCTTGCTCTCACAGGCAAAGAAACACTATAAAAAAACTAACATATTCATTGTGGTTTTGTCAAATAGAACATTTTTGTGTTTTCTTAAAGTCATGGACAGTCTATTTTTTCAAAAGGTAAAATGTAAATAATGTGATGCCAAATAATCTTACAGTAGACAAAATAAAATTTCAATAGATCTTAAATTTGTTCATTGACCTACCCATTAAAACCACAAAAATTAGTGCTCCATGAATAATAATGATTTTGCAGTAATTTAGCAGCCAATAATTTTTGAGTCATTTATTCTGTGGAGACTCATAAGGTAACAATAAAATCTTGTTATATAAATATTTAACTGACCTGTTAGGTAGAGAAATCCTCTTGATAGCATAATGACATTCATCTACTTTATTTGTGGCTTCAAATACAACACCAAATCTTGTTATATAAATATTTAACTGACCTGTTAGGTAGAGAAATCCTCTTGATAGCATAATGACATTCATCTACTTTATTTGTGGCTTCAAATACAACACCAAATCTTGTTATATAAATATTTAACTGACCTGTTAGGTAGAGAAATCCTCTTGATAGCATAATGACATTCATCTACTTTATTTGTGGCTTCAAATACAACACCAAATCTTGTTATATAAATATTTAACTGACCTGTTAGGTAGAGAAATCCTCTTGATAGCATAATGACATTCATCTACTTTATTTGTGGCTTCAAATACAACACCAAATCTTGTTATATAAATATTTAACTGACCTGTTAGGTAGAGAAATCCTCTTGATAGCATAATGACATTCATCTACTTTATTTGTGGCTTCAAATACAACACCAAATCTTGTTATATAAATATTTAACTGACCTGTTAGGTAGAGAAATCCTCTTGATAGCATAATGACATTCATCTACTTTATTTGTGGCTTCAAATACAACACCAAATCTTGTTATATAAATATTTAACTGACCTGTTAGGTAGAGAAATCCTCTTGATAGCATAATGACATTCATCTACTTTATTTGTGGCTTCAAATACAACACCAAATCTTGTTATATAAATATTTAACTGACCTGTTAGGTAGAGAAATCCTCTTGATAGCATAATGACATTCATCTACTTTATTTGTGGCTTCAAATACAACACCAAATCTTGTTATATAAATATTTAACTGACCTGTTAGGTAGAGAAATCCTCTTGATAGCATAATGACATTCATCTACTTTATTTGTGGCTTCAAATACAACACCAAATCTTGTTATATAAATATTTAACTGACCTGTTAGGTAGAGAAATCCTCTTGATAGCATAATGACATTCATCTACTTTATTTGTGGCTTCAAATACAACACCAAATCTTGTTATATAAATATTTAACTGACCTGTTAGGTAGAGAAATCCTCTTGATAGCATAATGACATTCATCTACTTTATTTGTGGCTTCAAATACAACACCAAATCTTGTTATATAAATATTTAACTGACCTGTTAGGTAGAGAAATCCTCTTGATAGCATAATGACATTCATCTACTTTATTTGTGGCTTCAAATACAACACCAAATCCACCTTTACCTAGAACTTCTATATGATCAAAATCAGATGCATATCTGTGAATAAAAGTGCACATTTTAAACTGACACATGCATAAATATTATATGAAATGATAATCATATAATCCGATCTAACATGGCCATGACAGACTTATAGGGGCGTCCGTGGCCGAGTGGTTAAGGTTGTTGACTTCAAACCACTTGCCCCTCACCGCTGTGGGTTCGAATCCCGACAGGGACTTTGGATTCTTTCATGTGAGGAAGCTATCCAGCTAGCTTACGGAACGTCAGTGGTTCTACTCAGGTGCCCGTTCGTGCCTGAAATAATGCACGGAAGGGCACCTGAGGTCTTCCTCCACCAGTAAAGCTGGAGCGTCGCGATATGACCTATACTGTGTGGATGTGACGTAAAACTCAAAAAAAAGAAAAAAAGAAAAAAAAGACAGACTTATAGTAGCTCAATATATAGTCACTATAGCCCATTGTTGACACAAGATTATATCACATAACAATCATGAAACTTATACATGTATATTAGTTTTATAGGAAACACTGCCTCAATATAAACTAATATTTTCTATGAAACAACTTATACAATATTTTTCTGCAACTAGTTAATTTTTCTTAAATAACTGAAAATGAGAAAAATCACAAAAATAAGACAATACAATTTAAGGGGAAATCCTTTTATCATGGGATAATCCCTTTTGGGGGCAAATCCATGTTTTAAAAGCAACTTTCTTCTAAATATATGTACAAGAATTATGACCAATACTATAACCTGGGGTATGAAAACTAGAAGTTAATTATATAAAATACAGGCAGACATTCTAGTAGAGCCACTTAGCTTCCACAAGAGACCTGGTAATGTTCTACATATAATGAATTCATTGTCTTTGGAAAGATCTAAACAGCCACAGTTGAGAAGAAATTGATCCTTAGTTAATTTATTCAACCACTTAGTGAGACACTGACCACTTAAACAGGCATTAACTACTTGTGAAGAGAGGCCCTGGCTTACTTTAGATCATTACTGTATAATTACCTTGATATGTATTCTTCAGAATTCTGCCTGCTTGGTGGGTTGCTGGTACTTCCATCATCAACATCCTTAGCATTGGAGGAATCTTGAGAATTTAACTGTAAATATAAGTACATGTTAAATTAAGGGGACTCATTCACAAAATTGTTAGAATTTTTTCCTCTTTAAAGAAGTAAATATATATATTTATATCAGGCATTTTTACATATAGGTAAAACTGATGATTTTTTAATCAACAATCATGATCTTTGTTTGTTTCCTAAAAACTTCTATAGAAGCCTGTAAAATACAGTAATCATAAATTATGCCAACTGATGTGGGGTTTTTTTGGGGGAGGGGGGGTGTGTGTGTGTGTGATTGGGGTTACCTCACATAAGTCATATTGCAGCTTTTACTGATGGATAAAGACCTCATGTAAACCTCTGTGCATTATTTCAGGCATAAAGAGACAGCTATGTAGAACCACCAATGTTCCATAAACTAGCTGGATAGCTGGTTTTTATATCTTTTCCAAGTTCAAGGGGTATAACTGTCAAAAACATCTGACCATGACTAAATTAGACATTGACCTGTATTTTTTGTTAAATACCAGTACATGCAATGTCAACCTGGGACATACATTTCTACAAAAGCAAGCAGAAACTGAAGTTCAGGAGGGAAACTATGTCAAAAATCATCAGACTAAAACCAAACTGTACTTGTAATTTCTGGTTAAATTCCTGCACATGAGATTTCAACGGTATACATACATTTCTAAAAAAGTAAGAGTGCAGAAATGTTCAAGAGTGATAACTTTAAGTTTAATGTGTACAACTGTTGGGGAGATAATCAAAGGAAACTGATTTTTTTTTCAACATTCAAGAGAGATAACTTTGTCAAGAACCATTGAACTATGACCAAATTCTAACTTGACCTGTGTATTTCTATGATATATCCATATGTGGAATTTGAGCCGAATGTGTACAACTTTTTAGAGATAATAAACGGAAACAGATGATGATGGAATGACGGAACAGGGTAACACTATATGCCTCAGCCATTTTATGGCCGGGCATAAAAATACAGAAAAATTTTGAAAGCTTGATGTATTTAGAAATGACAAAATCATTTCAAAAGCATTGATCTAATAAAGAAACTTCTTTCTTGGAAATTGAATTAAAAAAACATTTTGCCATAAATAAATAAAAACATATACATAAAAAAGAGCATACTCCCATATTTCTAACCTTTCTTTTCATTCAAAAGTAATTAAATACATGACTTGTATAACTTTAAAAAATAATTATTGCAGCTGAGATTTGCCAAGATTGCAGTTTAATAAAGGTTTAAAAACTAAAATAACTTTGGAATAAAAAACAATTTCTTTTCAAAGCATGTATACCTTAGAATAAAGAATAGTTCTATAAACAGAATATGTGTGGTAATGAAAAGAAAAATGTGACTTAACAAATTCAACAAGGAAAACAAACTTTAATAGATATATTTAGAAAGACAGTCTACAGCTTAAAATCATTTAATTTTATATCCACTATTAGTAAATAATCAACAAGAAAAAAAGTTTATTCAAAAACTCAAATTTGATAAATATTTCAGGAACAACAAGTAAAATTTAAAATGTCAAGGTATCTTATTTTGCTAATTATGTATTAATAAAACATTGTTTATTCAATGGCACCTGGGATTAAGTAAAATTCATTCTGGTACTGGCAGTTATTCCAACAATCATCACAATCATAATAATATATCATTTGAAATCTAAATAACCTGCATTAACTACATTAATGTTGTCTGTCTGAAATATCAAATAATTATCAAATTGAAATGTATTTATAAATCAGAATCCTTACAGTTCATGTGAATTATAGTTATTAATTTACCAACAAAGCATAAAGGCGTCGGATAATCACACCAAAGTTGAAAAAAGAAAGAAATTTATGTGTCTGAGGCATACTTGAAAACCATCTTTCATTATGAAAAGTGAACAGACTGGCGAAAAATAATTACAGACATTAATTACAGGAAAATAAATAAGGCAGGTGCAGTAATTATGAAGGCAAGACATTTCTACATTATTATTATCTACATAAAACTGTATTGCAAAATAAACCAAATTTAATCACAAGTTTTTAATAACATGTTTATGTAATTTTCAAGTTGTATAGAAAGTTTGTACAGACCATGTTTTTATAAAAGCCCATAAATTGTCCAGGTATGAAAAGTTTTGTATATTAACTTTCAGCTAGCCAATGACAAATATACACAGTGGCCTTGTAAAGTCCAGGAATAAACTTACAAGTTCTCAAAGTTCCAGCAATTATTTTGTAAATTTATAAACAAAATTAAATGAGACTAAAAGAGCTTCTCAAACACTCTCAAATCACCAAATGATAATTGAGTTTTAATTTAAAGAAAAGACTCTCAATTTAAAGGGACTCCACTAACGTTTTTGACATGCGAGACCTGAAATTTTATTTTGGATAAATGTTTCATTTGGTGTAGGTCTAAGCCAATAACCTGTATGCAGAATTTCTGATCATTCACTCACTCCATTTGTCCAGAATGATTATACTAATTGTGAAATGTGACCTAAATTGGAAAGAATTGTAACGGTTTTCACTCAAATTGTGTTAAATTGCACAAAATTATTATTTTCAGTAACGGTTTTCACTCAAATTGTGTTAAATTGCACAAAATTATTATTTTCAATCAATTCTTAGTATATTTCTAAGATATCTTTTGCATAACTTTCTGTTTAAGAGCCTTAATTGATCTATAATTATGTAAGACATTCAAATTTTATGTTTTAAGGCTATTTTTTTGGGGCTTAATGGAGTTACTTTAAAGTCATCCTCTCCAAATACTATGTCAGAATTGAACAAATAGGAAACTTTGTTGTAAACAAGAGGTTTAAATTCCCCTCATTAGGCTTTTTGAAATGAATTGGCACAATTGAGGTCAAGGGTCAACCTAATTTTTTCACTGAAGTAGGAAAATTAGAATGATGTCTTCAAGCATTACATCAGGCGTGATTGGATATGTGGTCACTAGTAAATACAGTCAGGACTCATTACAACGACACTGTTGGTTCCCAAAGGATATGCCAGTATATCAAATTTGTCAGTATATTGAATTTCATTATTTATAATATTGTAATTGTAATGATATGCTTATTCACTGGTCTCTGAACATTATGTATTTATATCTATAATAAACATTTAAAGTGAAACAGACGGACGGACCCCAAGGGGTATAACATATAATGCCCAAAATTTTAATTAATATCACTTTTTGTAACATCCTTTTTACTGTCTTTATATGAAATGATTTCGTATTTTTGTTCAAAGTTAAATTAGTCTGTTGACGTTGAGCTGGAGGTTCTGCCATAATTTTAATAAAAAAAGTCACAAGTTAGCAAGTGTAACAAAATTCAGCTGACAACAACACGTTGGTATTGTAATAAGGTGTAACAATCAACTGACCAAGGTACAATACCTGTTTTAACACCTTGCGGCTTTTGTTCAAGGCTCCATGATACACGCGCTTGACTGACCAAGTGTCAGTTTAACGAGTACTGATTGTATAGAAAATAACACGTTTGGTTTCCAATTTTATTGTGTCGGAGTCGGAATACGAATTTTCCGTTATAACGGATGATATTAACGTTGAAAAAGATTGGTTCCCACCAATTCACTGTCGTTATTTGAATTTGTCAGTATAATGGATTCCGATGTATTGAGTCCTGACTGTATACCGACAAGTAAAATAATTTCAAAATATTCTCCCATTACACAGTCTTAATACTTTCAAGGGGAGTGACGACCTAGTGATTTAGGTGTCTACCTCTCAACCCTGGGATCATGGGTACACGCCCTAATTGGTTCACAACCATGTTTTTTCATATGACACCAGTACTGGTTGGTTCCAGGAAGTGCACTCAAAAGTGATTAATATATGTTGCGAAAACTTGTTCCACAATCAAGCTTAAATAAATATGTTTAAACCAATATGTTCCTGCGAAATAGTATCATGAAAATTCAAATAGTTATTATATTTACAAATTTCAAAATCTTCGCCATAAAGTGCCTCTCATAAAACCAGTATTAAGTAATTTCTAACATTTACAATAATCATAGTGTATTGATAGTGAGACTTACCTGACCAGAACTAAAGCTTTGAGCCAACACTTCACGTGCTTTATGTACTCTCGTTAGAATTACATGTACAATAACTGATGTTAATATACTGATTGCTATCACTTCTTTCCTGTTAAAAACAAAAATAGATTGACTTAGTTTATACTTCTACAGGAGTGTAGGACAGTGGTTCTTTTACAGAACACATGCTACAGGGTTGAGCAGTTCCAATTTATACAGTTCTAATGTCTGAGAAGTACACATTTATAGAGTTCTAATGTCAACAGTTTCCTTGAGAAAATTATGGCGCAATACTTCATTTCATACATGTATATATGGGTATTACCTTGGATGGAACAATATCATAGTATTATCATAGTGCCATAATGTAGACTGACATATTATTATGCAACCTGAACAGTCTCTCCAAAGGTAATGATAAAGTGATGCTGGAAAACCTAATCACCCGGACCAAAGCTGTCAATTCTTTGTCCAAGCCAAGGGCGTGAAATTTTGTTTAAAGATGCCTTTAGTTTCACTTCTTGGATGAAACTGTTTCACTAAAGAAATTATTTACAGCAAAGTTTTTTTTTGACCTTTCACCAATCTGACTGTATCTCAGTCACATACAGACAGAAAGTTCCTGAAGTCTATACCTGCATTGACACTGTTTCTACCATTCACTCTAAATATTTTCATTTTCACTCTAAACATTTTCATTTTCACTCTAAACATTTTCATTTTCACTCTAAACATTTTCATTTTCACTCTAAACATTTTCCTTTAAATTTGTTCAAATAGCATTACAGGAAGTATTCTAAAAACAATAGTTGTCAGTAGAAAAGCCTCCCTGACTGTTCTCAGTGCTTGATAGTAAAATAAGAGCCTAGATAAATGTTGTATTTTCTAACTTCAAAAAAGGGGCAAAAATTCTGTCAAAATCCATGTTTGTTATGGGCCTTGGAAAGTAACCTTCTATTTTATAGGTTTCAAATGTGTGAGTAATGCTTCAAGCCATTCCCTTCTGTAGTTTTAGAGATATCAACTTGCAGGTAAAAACTAAACTAAAGTGTGTCGTTGACATAAGTACAATCTTATTCTTTGTATAAATGGTCCAGCTAAAAATGTCCAAATTAAAAATTCACAGAAAAGGCTTCTAAATATCTAAAAAAAAAGTCTCTTTAGATAAAATGCTTTCCCTATTGCAATAAAAACAAAACTGCTGTAGTTTTAATCAATTCAGTGTCAAAAATATCCAACATAATTCAGACATTACATTAAATCATCCAAAAAATCTGTACAAAATGAAAATTGAAAAGTTTTTTGTGACAATATCATTGACTTCATTTTGTTAATTTTTCTTGCTTTCAGAACTTATGTAAAACATTCACAGCAAATTTGGCATGTTTCTTTAGAAATACTTTGAAATATTTTTGAAATTTTGTGTTCTGAATAAAAACATTGAATAATTACAAATAAAGCATGTAGCTATGTACATTTGACTGGCAAAAATCTGAAATCTTGTATTATGTTAACATATACCTTGTATTTAAACAGACTTTATATTGAAAAAAAAACTTTTAATGTCTACTCACAAATACATAAAGAATATAAGAGGGCGATGTAAGTGGGAAAGTAACTTCTAATATCATATCTTTAAATGCATCTATTTATATAATAGATGCTTATAAAAAATATAACAAAACAAGAGCTGTCAGAAGGACAGCACGCTCGACTATTCTAAGTGCTTGATAGTAAAAGAGCCTTGATAATGTTAAATTTTTTAAGATCACAAAAGGTCTAATTTTTTTTAATAAATTCATGTTATAGGCCTTAGAGAGAGTCTAATTATACAGTATTGGCTTGACTATTCGGAAGGTAATGTCACAAGGTTGTTTTATTGAGTATAATAATACTAATTACCTATGAATACAAAAATTTGACAGAAAAGGTACAAAGGGATTCTAATTAAGATGTTTTATCAAGTAAATCACTGCTTTATAATTATGAATGCATAAAATTGTCCCAAAAAAGGCACAAACCCTTCAGTAGTAATTGAGATAACAGCTTACAAGCAAAACTTTACCATGAATTTCTAAGTTGAAAAAGGGGAGAAAAATCAGCCTAAATGCAAGATAGAATTATGGATCTTTGTCAGTGACCTACAATTATGACCCTAAATGCATATGTGAAGTTTTAAATAAATATCTTTAATAGTTATTGAGATATGTAAAACTTGCATGTTAACATTAACCAAGAGACTAAGTAGAAAAGGGGATATGAATCAGCCTTAATGCAAGATAGAGTTATGAAACTTGGTCAGTGACATACAATTATGACCTTCCAATTATGACCCTAAGTGCATGTGTAAAGTTTCAAGTAAATATCTTTGAAGACCTTTAACCTTTAAACAAAATTTCTAAGTTTCAAAGGGGCAAATAATTCTTCAAATTTTGCAGGCAGAGTTATGCAATTTTGCAAACTGATGTACATTGTTACTATAAAAAAGTATTTTAAATTTCAATTGAATATCTCAAGCAATAATTGAGATATTTGACTTTACAAAAGAACTTTAACCAAAATTTCTAAGTTCCAAAGGGGCATAATTCTGTCAATATTGTAGGCAGAGTTATCCAACTTGTCTATCTGATGTACCTTGTTACTATAAATAAGTATTGTAAGTTTCAATTGAATATCTCAAGCAATAGTTGAGATATTTGACTTTACAAAAAACTTTAACCAAAATTTCTAAGTTAAAAAGGGGCATAATTCTGTCAATATTGTAGACAGAGTTATCTCACTTGTCAAGCTGATGTACCTTGTTACTATAAATAAGTATCGTAAGTTTCAATTGAATATCTCAAGTAATTATTGAGATATTTGACTTTACAAAAAACTTTAACCAAAATTTCTAAGTTAAAAAGGGGCATAATTCTGTCAATATTGTAGGCAGAGTTATCCAACTTGTCAATCTGATGTACCTTGTTACTATAAATAAGTATTGTAAGTTTCAATTGAATATCTCAAGTAATTATTGAGATATTTGACTTTACAAAAAACTTTAACCAACGCAGACGCCGACGCGGACGCTGACGCCGACGCCGGGGCGACTACAATAGCTCTCATATTCTTCGAATAGTCGAGCTAAAAATTGAATTTATCAAACAACTTACAAGGTGAGATGAAGGACGGCTGCAGCTGTATAAAACATTTAATTTTTTTCTAATTAGAGTCTAACTTAGCTTAGTTTTTTACCTACTCTTTAAAGACATGCGACATTTTATCTAGATGAAAGTAACATTTAAGTAAATGATTAAATAAACATTATTGAAAAAAAAAATTATTCAAGTTTCCGTACTCTCATTAGACAAGGACTTAAATAAATGAAAACATATCTATATACTCAGGTAAACCCCCAACTCATATGATATGATGGTGAGATATCCTACTCGCTCAAATCCACAATTAATACAGTATATTTAAACTACACCACGTTGTATTTGCTTGACTTTTAGTGGCCCGATATCTTCTTATAAAGATATTAGTGGTCTTTAGCCTTGTTACTATGGTAACTTACCACCAATTCCAGAGTGTTACAGGTACAGCAATTACACCATCATACATTGATGGTTCGTACGGCTGGTACCTCTCGGACATGTTCTCGGCTGAATCATCTTCACTGCTGGGAACCGGTAGAGTAAATTCAGGGTACAAGTAGAATCCATTATCTGATGTAGAAATACAGACAACATATTAAAGTAATGAATTTTCTAAGAATGAAATATTCTAAATATTATAATAAAACTGTTGAACTGTATATTGAATATGTAACAAATATAAGGTATTTCAACAACACCAAGTCAGTAACATACTTCTACCGAAAAACACAAAACTCAACATAAAAATGTCTATAAATAAATGACTTGAATACATTTTACAAACATGCATCTTCCAAACAGTAACTTTTTATACCTGTTTTGTTTTTCATTTTCTTATTATCCTAATTATGCATAATAATCTTGAGTGTATTTGTAAGCTTACCAAAGGGATAGTTTTCATGCCAGATAACTAGGGCATTATCTCCCTCCTGACATCTATCCATGTTTGTATAACCAGGCTCTGATGTAATCTGCGGACGCTCATGGTTTATTGCAGGTGTTCGCCACTGTGCTATAATTCCAAAATAAAACATATGTACATATATATCAACTCTGTTCTGTTAAGAGTTTTGAAAAAATAAATGTTTCCCTTATCTACAGTATAAATTTAACAGAACTGCAAGTAGAAATTAGCAAATATTTGACCTCCACAATTAGTCCAAAATGTTAATTTTACGATATATATGCCTCGTGAAAATATCTGATTTTACTGTATATCCTGTAGCATTTTCCATGCTTCACCAGTTAAAAAAAATGCCATATATCCATTTGTCTATTATCACAATCAAAAGCAGAAAAATGAGTAAAACAACTGACATTCTATAAACTAGATAAGAGCTTCCTCACACCAGAGTACATGTATCTAATGTCTGTGATAGGAATCCAACCCATAACATAACAGTGAAAGGCAAGTGATTTCAAGTCTATGAACTTAAGCAATAAACTATAGAGATGCAAGGAAAATATCTCACATATAAATCACTATATACTGATTTATACAACCAAAATATTGAATATGATCATCAAAAATATTTCCTATCTACCTCAGTTATTGTAAGACACAATTTGATTATATTTACTGTAAGACACAATTTGATTTGATTTATTGTAAGACAAAATTTGATTTAATTTATTGTAAGACACAATTTGATTTGATTTATTGTAAGACACAATTTGATTTGATTTATTGTAAGACACAATTTGATTTAATTTACTGTAAGACACAATTTGATTTATTGTAAGACACAATTTGATTTGATTTATTGTAAGACACAATTTGATTTTATTTACTGTAAGACAAAGTTTGATTTTATTTACTGTAAGACAAAGTTTGATTTTATTTATAGTAAGACACAATTTGATTTTATTTACTGTAAGACAAAGTTTGATTTTATTTACTGTAAGACAAAGTTTGATTTTATTTACTGTAAGACAAAGTTTGATTTTATTTATAGTAAGACACAATTTGATTTGATTTATTGTAAGACACAAATTGATTTTTAAATTTAATGTTAAGACACAATTTGATTTAAGACACAATTTGATTGGATTTATTGTAAGACACAATTTGATTTTTTATTTATAGTAAGACACAATTTGATTTGATTTATTGTAAGACACAAATTGATTTTTAAATTTAATGTTAAGACACAATTTGATTCTGTAAGACACAATTTGATTGGATTTATTGTAAGACACAATTTGATTTATTGTAAGACACGGCTTGATTTTGTTTATTGTAAGACACAATTTGATTTGATTTATTGTAAGACACAATTTGATTTAATTTACTGTAAGACACAATTTGATTTGATTTATTGTAAGACACAATTTGATTTATTGTAAGACACAATTTGATTTGATTTATTGTAAGACACAATTTGATTTGATTTATTGTAAGACACAATTTGATTTAATTTATTGTAAGACACAATTTGATTTAATTTACTGTAAGACACAATTTGATTTGATTTATTGTAAGACACAATTTGATTTAATTTATTGTAAGACACAATTTGATTTAATTTACTGTAAGACACAATTTGATTTAATTTATTGTAAGACACAATTTGATTTGATTTATTGTAAGACACAATTTGATTTATTGTAAGACACAATTTGATTTAATTTACTGTAAGACACAATTTGATTTGATTTATTGTAAGACACAATTTGATTTAATTTACTGTAAGACACAATTTGATTTGATTTATTGTAAGACACAATTTGATTTAATTTACTGTAAGACACAATTTGATTTAATTTACTGTAAGACACAATTTGATTTGATTTATTGTAAGACACAATTTGATTTATTGTAAGACACGGCTTGATTTTGTTTATTGTAAGACACAATTTGATTTGATTTATTGTAAGACACAATTTGATTTAATTTACTGTAAGACACAATTTGATTTGATTTATTGTAAGACACAATTTGATTTATTGTAAGACACGGCTTGATTTTGTTTATTGTAAGACACAATTTGATTTGATTTATTGTAAGACACAATTTGATTTAATTTCCTGTAAGACACAATTTGATTTAATTTACTGTAAGACACAATTTGATTTGATTTATTGTAAGACACAATTTAATTTATTGTAAGACACGGCTTGATTTTGTTTATTGTAAGACACAATTTGATTTGATTTAATTGTAAGACACAATTTGATTTAATTTACTGTAAGACACAATTTGATTTAATTTACTGTAAGACACAATTTGATTTATTGTAAGACACAATTTGATTTAATTTACTGTAAGACACAATTTATTTTAATTTACTGTAAGACACAATTTGATTTGATTTATTGTAAGACACAATTTGATTTAATTTACTGTAAGACACAATTTGATTTAATTTACTGTAAGACACAATTTGATTTAATTTACTGTAAGACACAATTTGATTTGATTTACTGTAAGACACAATTTGATTTGATTTATTGTAAGACACAATTTGATTTAATTTACTGTAAGACACAATTTGATTTGATTTATTGTAAGACACAATTTGATTTAATTTACTGTAAGACACAATTTGATTTAATTTACTGTAAGACACAATTTGATTTGATTTATTGTAAGACACAATATGATTTGATTTATTGTAAGACACAATATGATTTTTTTTATTTAATGTTAAGACACAATTTGATTTTTTATTTATTGTTAAGACACAATTTGATTTGATTTATTGTAAGACACAATATGATTTTTTTATTTAATGTTAAGACACAATTTGATTTAAGACACAATTTGATTTTATTTATTGTAAGACACAATTTGATTTTTTATTTACTGTTAAGGCACAATTTGATTTTATATCAGTATTTTACCAGTATTCAGATATGGTTTCCAGGCCACCCTTGGTAAATGTTTACTGTCTTTCTGGCATGTTTCCGGAAAATCATCATGGGGAAGTTTCTTTGTTGCCTCGGACATACGTTCCTGCATCTGTGCTGAGGGTTGTACATATAGCTGTTTCTCGTGCATGCCTGAAATAAATATTGTAATATTGTCTTATGCATGCATAAAAACAAATATTGTAATCTTTTAAACTTTAATTCTCAGAACGGAATATAATAGCTGTAAAAGCAGATTGTCTTCAGTTTTATCAAAATGTTTATCAAATTTAAAAAGTGTTTTAAATATTATTATATATTATGTCATGTGACCAAATAATGAACTTAAACTGGCATGTAATTTGTACAATCTATCTAAATTACCTACAATATTTCAAACAATCCATGATTAACCCTTACTTAATCATTTACAGGCAACAGTTGTGCTGCTAAGAAAGTCAATTTTGACAATATAATTTCTTCGACCTAGCCATAACAGCTTATTCCTCAAACCCTATCAAAACAATAGTAATTCAAATATAAAGCTTTTTTTTGTATTCTTTTCTGGATGCAAATTAACTTCACAGAAAATATTTATTTTTTTTTGTTACAACTTTCTTGACTTTAACATTAAGGCACACTTAAACAAACTGAATAAACAGTAAACAACTTACCCACATAGAGCAATGGTGGATGTATAGGTCTCTCCCCAGGTTCAAAGCTGGACAATGCCGGTATATTGTTGTTTCCAAACATATCTATACGCTGTAACTCACCTTTAAACAGCAACCATACATTTGATACCGGACTCTTAAACTGTAATCAAACAAAATCCAATTAAATATCATAAACTCTGTAATTTTTCTAATGTCAAATTAACAACAAGAATTATTTTCAGTAATAGTATTTTCATGTACTAGGTAAAGTAAGTTGAAAAACTTGTAACAAAGAAAAGCAATAGATCTAGATAACTTTGACAATTAATTAAATTTGATTCTCATTTCGTATTTGTTTTTTTTTGTCATATTTTATATGAAGGATTAGTCACAAGCTGAAACCATGAAAACAACAATTCAGCAAAATGTTACAGTGAGAGCCTCTTGCCAGTTTGCAACCCAGAGATCATGGGCTCAAGCCCTACCAGAGTCACAACCAAGTTTTCCACATATGACACCAGTACTTGTTAGTTCCAGCATGCAAATTCAAGACTGTATCAAATAAAGAACTTCTCAAGCTCAAACTAAAACAGAATGCTCAACTTTAGATGCAATCCTTACTATGATAAAATCTATCCCTGAAATGTTTTCTTAAGTTTTTTTTTTATCCAGCGGTAAAGTTTGTACCTTATACTGCCAGGTTACAGCCTGCATATTGTCTGGACTTACACCAACAATCATTCCCTCTGGTACGACAATCTTCACCGAGTTAGAAAACATCTCCATATCATCTATAGGATCCTGTTCCTCATCTACATTAATAACACAAATGAGCCGCGTCATGACAAAACCAACATAATGGGTCTGCGACCAGCATGGATCCTGACCAGCTTACGCATCCACGCAGTCTGATCAGGATCCATGCTGTTCGCTTACAAACCCAAACAAGTAGAGAAACTGATAGCGAACAGCATGGATCCTGATCAGACTGCGCAGATGCGCAGGCTGGTCTGGATCCATGCTGGTCGCAAACCCATTATGTTGGTTTTGTCATGACGTGGCTCAAATGACAATCAAATACTTATTTAACACCCTTCCGCCTTCACAGAATGAGTATTTTGTGTCATAGAAAGTTATATCAAATCTGCTCTGCACAAAAAATATCCCATGTGAGTAAAAAATTTCATTTAAAAAGTATACATGTATTATTTTTAACATTATAAGTTTAACTATGTGAATAAACTTCTGTCTTTTGTTTGAATCTTAGTTTTACAAAATACATAATAATTTATGTTTCATGACTGAATGTCAAAATGCTGCAAAATGCTCATTCACAATATTGAATATAAAAGTTTTCAAGAGTTTATTACATACAATACTCAACTCCATGTACATATTTAAATTTGAAGGGTGCCAATGCCCTTTCTTTTGACATTTTTACTTTTGACATTTTTAAAAATATTTTCAAATTTTTGGCAAATCTTTCCTTTCAGTTTTCAAACTTTTGGCTAATCATTCAATCTTTTGGCATATTTCTTTTTTTTATTTTTAATTCTTTTATTTCCATTATTATAATTTGAATTAAATATAAAACGAGAATAAAGTTACTGACCTTCAGGGTCACATGTCACAATGTCAACCTCATCATCTGTGTTACCATGGTTATTAGAGATGATCTGTCTTTGACCTTTAATGAAGGTCAATTCATGTTCACCAACACTAAAGTTCCACCTGTTTAAGAAATATTGAAATGATTCTACAAATACATATGTATATAGATAATATACTAATATATTAGTATTAGTACATGACTATAAATAATAATTGTTCTATAAAAGATATTTGTTTGTTATGTGTAGTTATTTTAACATTTTATAAGAAAAATAAAACTCTGTATATTAATGATAGGTTTTTACCTGTCACAAACAGAAGTAGGTCAAAAGATTGAATTGTATGAAACTTTTATGTAAGAAAATCAAATGTGACTGACAGAGTCACAGTCATGCATTACAAATGTATACTTTAAGGTAATTAAAATATTTTGCAAAAATCCTACATGAAGTTACTTACATACTGAGAACATTTTTTCAGCATATATATTTTATACATTATATTACTATTCATGTTACTTTTCATTGGATAATAGTGATGTTTATAAACACTATACACAGCTACTGTGAAATTAATAAATAATTTCATGTTTTCCTATAAACAAGAGGGCCATGATGGCCCTAGATCGCTCACCTGAATTATCAAACTCATCCAAACAATTACCTAGACAAGCATTCTGACCAAGTCTCATGACAGGTGAGTCAAAAATGTGACCACTACAGTGTTAACAAGGATTATCCATATTTGAGCAGTGCGACCTAGTTTTTTACCCAGGTGACACATATTCAAACTTGACCTAGAAATCATCAAAACAAACTTTCAGACCAATTTCCAGGATACTTGGATCAAAACAGTAGCAACTAGAGTGTTAACAAGATTTTTCTATTTTTAGCTCCGGTGACCTAGTTTCACATGCGATTTCGAACTCATCCAAGCAATTACCTAGACAAGCATTCTGACCAAGTTTGATGATAATGGAGTCGAAAATGTGACCACTAGAATGTTAACAAGGTTTTTCCATATTTGGGCGGTGTGACCTAGTTTTTCATCCAAGATGACCCATGTTCGATCTTGACTTAGAAATCATCAAAACAAACTTTCAGACCAATTAACAGAATATTTGGATCACAACAGTAGCCACTAGAGTGTTAACAAGATTTTTCTATTTTTAGCTCCTGTGACCTAGTTTTTCATCCAAGATGTCCCATGTTCGATTTATTCCCAGCAATGACCTAGACAAGTTTCCTGACCAAGTTTGATGACAATTGAGTCAAAATTGTGACCACTAGAGTGTTAACAAGGTTTTTCTATTTTTAGCTCCTGTGACCTAGTTTTTCATCCGAGATGACCCATGTTCGAACTCATCCGAGTTATTACCTAGACAAGCATCTTGATCAAGTTTGATGATGATTGATGCAAAAATGTGACCGCTAAAGTGTTAACAAGGTTTTAACAAGGTTTTTCTATTTTTAGCTCCGGTGACCTACTTTTTCATCCGAGATGACCCATGTTCGAACTCATCCAAGCTATCAACTAGATAAGCATCCTGACCAAGTTTGATGATGATTGATAAAAAATGTGACCGCTAGAGTGTTAACAAGGTTTTTCTATTTATAGCTCCGGTGACCTAGTTTTTCATCCGAGATGACCCATATTCGAACTCATCCGAGCTATTATCTAAACAAGCATCCTGACAAAGTTTGATGATGATTGGGTCAAAATGTGACCACTAGAGTGGTCACAAGGTTTTTCTATTTTTAGCTCCTGTGACCTAGTTTTTCATCAGAGATGACCCATGTTCGAACTCATCCAAGCAATTGACTAGACAAGCATTCTGACCAAGTTTGATGATGATTGGTTCAAAAATGTGACCACTAGAGTGTTCACAAGGTTTTTTCTATTTATAGCTCCTGTGACCTACTTTTTCATCCGAGATGACCCATGTTCGAACTCATCCGAGCTATCACCTAGACAAACATCCTGACCAAGTTTGATGAAGATTGGGTCAAAAATGTGACCTCTAGAGTGTTCACAAGGTTTTTCTATTTTTAGCTCTTGTGACCTAGTTTTTCATCTGAGATGACCCATATTCGAACTCATCCGAGCTTTCAACTAGATAAGCATCCTGACCAAGTTTGATGATGATTGAGGCAAAAATGCGACCGCTAGAGTGTTCACAAGCAATTGTGGACGGCCAGACGGACGACGGACGACGGACGACGGACGACGGACATTCATCGATCCTAAAAGCTCACCCTGAGCAAGCTCAGGTGAGCTAAAAAGAAAGTTTGCAGTATTATATATTTGATTATTGACAGTTTATATGGCTGTATATAAATGGTTACTTACAATTTAACCTAGTGGCTTGGGTTATATATACAAACAACCATCCATATAAGGCCATATAACCTGTCAAAAATCTTTACACATGTAACTATATAGTAGTGTCAGTAAATCTGTTATTTATCACCAAATGTTATCATCTACCCAAACAAGTCAATTTCCTTCATACTTAACTCCATTGTGTAAAATGTCAAGTTCCATTATCAGGTATCATAATGGCTTCAAAATCTGATATATAGAGGATATTGAATGAGTGTAGGTTTAATACTAAATTTATTAAACCCGAGGCTAACATTATATTATTTTATTCAACGAGTTCAACAAATTTACTATTGAATCTACAAGAATATAGTATTCTATTGTAATGCTAACATTAGCACGTTTTAATGCTATGTTTCTATATACGCAAATGATGTACGGTCAAAGAGTTATTACACTAGTGTAATATAGTTTTTATAAAATGGCTTTATTACACTCCTGCGCCGTGGTTTATGTGATTAAAACAAATCAAACTGAATGCAATCTGTACAAAACTAATGGTATTGTATTAAAATGATGGTAAAATCCCCACTTTCTATGTAAGTTAAAGCATGGAAACTAAGTAAGATATATTGACTGACCAGGCATATTAAAAAACACTGATATTTTATACCATTTCAAGGCAGTGAAAAATTGACTCACTTTTCAGATCCTGACCTAGAATCCACAGCTCGTACAGTTTGTGTTTGACGATTTACAATTAAAAGGTCCTCCTCATTCACAACTTCTTCACCAAATGTCCGACATCCCTTTACTCCACATGCATATCTCACCTGTTAACAAATACACAAATTATTTACTACTGATTCAAGTACCAACACACTCATAAGGGTCATATAAAATTTTAACCCTGATCGGCAAGATAATTTAACCCTGATCCAACTATTGTTTTGAAACTGATTTGTCACACTCTTCTTTATCTTTAGATCAGAATATTGGAAATGAACAAACATTATATTATAGAACAGAGACAGATCAGTCTTAGATTGATCTTGTTGAATACTGGTTGTGTAGCATAGGTGCTATAGTCTGATTTTATTGACCTGTCAATATTGCACTCATTAAAATAGAGTCATTTAAATGTATTTGATCCCACTTCGGTTCTGTCCTTGTAGTATACGAGAATTAATATGGAGAATATAACCAAAGTTTTGGAAAGTCACACAAGCTAAATGTGTAGATGGACATCACATCCACAAAAGCACTGTTGGTTAATAATTGCCTAATATATCAGAGGTCTGTGGTTAGATCCGTACTGTTGCCATTGTTTAGATTACTCTTTATTTTTGCAGTATATTGAAATGGTTATGGCCAGGTGCTTGCAAAATTATCTACACTGATATTAAGCAACTTATAACATGGGCCTACAAGGTCTTGATCTTACAATACGTAATACATTTAGAAATTATAAGCTTGTGGTTTACCCTATTGCTCTATTAGGATCAATATAATTATTTCACACACAAAAATTAAAATTAAATCACACCTTACTGTGTACATCTCACAGATCTTACAGAAAATTATATAAAATCAAACAATACCAAAACAACAACATAATAGTCATCTTAATAACAAATAAATCCTGGTTTAATAGAGGACATCAGAAAAAGATTTGATATGAAAGTTCAAATAACTTGCACAATTATAAATAATGGAAAACTGGAAAGAAATAATGAACTGATATAAGGTCACTGACATCTAGTAAACAATGAATTTAAAAAATGCCTTTGGCTATTACAAATATGCATGTATAAAGTATATGAGCCAAGTTAAAGAAAGTAATTAATATATTGTTATTGATGTCAAGTTTATAAATGACATCACTGGCCTAATCATAATCTAGATCAGAGGCATGACTAAGGAACAGACATTTACATAGGCTTACCTATAGACATTTAGTTTGTATAATTTCCAATCCAAGCACATGATATTCTGTGACATAATTATATTGAATATAAGACAGTCATACCCTAAACACTTTTAATACACTTGTTACTATATATAGTAACAAAATTGCCTATGATTTCAACTGATTATGAGTGTCACGTGACCTATTATGAGTTTGCGGCCCGGGGCCGAGAACTAGTTATCAGCCCGCAGAACATGTGCACGTGCACAAAACTGAAACAATGACGTCACATTTAACGTCATCAAACAGTTAACTGTAAAAATGAAAGTAGGTTATAAGCACGAATCGCTGCGTATTTAGTACAAACACATTTTTGTTACTATTGAAATTTGAAGAAATAATACGACAAATTCATTCCGAAAAAAAAATGAAAATAAAACTTGCTTCTTGGTTCTACTGCTTTGAACACACAAACAGAAAATATCTCTGTACAGAACAGTAGAAGAATTTCAACGAAAGAACTTCAAAGTCTATTTGTTTTGATTATGTTTTTGTTATTTGTTTGTTTGTTTATTAATTTAAATGCTACTATTAGATCTACCAAGTGTATTAAAGACATTAATACACGTCAGCGTAGGGCCGGAAGGTGATAATCGGCCCTGAATGAAAAACGGCCCTCGGGTCCATTATTCATTTTGCGGGCCGATTATCACCTTCCGGCCCTCTCCTGCCGTGTATTAACCTCTTAATATTTATTACTTATACTTATGTAACTTATGAATCTGAAGGTTGTTTCTCATCTTACTTAAATACCCCCGATGTATGTTTGGCACAAAACTGTGATATCTTTTATTTTTAACTATATAAGATACAATATTTTACAAGAATATCAATATGAATATTATACCTGTCCGGTATGAGGGTCAAGGCCGTATGTAACGATATCTTTTCCACCAATCATCATTGTGTTGTCTGCCAGCTTGAACGTGGAACTCAACAATGTGTCAGCAGATAATGGCACGGCTTCAATACTGTCCCCGTCATATCTGTACAGACCACCATCAAGGGAAGGTATATAACGTGTCGGTACACCATCGTGCATTATCTAAATTATATAAGGAAAACTTAAGTAAGTGACCCCAGACACTAAGTTTTATCTTATTTAATTGGGTTCAACATCGCACCTATGAATATATAATTGATTAATGGAGTTTTGTCAGTATAATTATGTAATGTATTAAATATCCCATTGCTCAGTATTGTATTGATTTTTTTTCTTTATGTGTGCTTTTTCCTAATTGTAAAATATGTGACCTAAAATTATATTTCAAAATGCTTGTTATAACGATGTACCTATGTGTGTACAAGTTATGAAATAAACTCTGTTCTGTTCAGTATAGGTCATATAGCAACTTTCCAGCCTTAAAGGTGGAGGAATACCTCCGCCACCCCTCTGTGTATTATTTCAGGTACAAACAGGATTGAGTGGAACCACCGACATTCCTTAAGCTAGCTGGATAGCTTTTTCACATGAAAGAATCCAAACATTGTGCAGCATGAACCTACAGTGGTGAGGGGCAAGTGGTTTGAAGTCAATGACCTTAACCAGTGGGCCACAAATGCCCTGATACTATATTATACTAAGAGTAAAACATTCTTTACTTCTCATTCATTATGACAATCATGTAAAATTTACTACAATGTATTGTAATAAGCCCACCAAAACAAACATAAAAATCTGCATTGTGAAGAAATCAAATGGTGAAATAAATGGTGCAAGAAACTTATTTTAGCCTTTGTTTAAACGGTGTTCTCCTACTCACTCTTTCCTTATAATAATTTATTATATACATGTTCTTTTTTACAATCTACTATACAATATGTTACAGATGTCATGCTAGTAATGAATAAGAAAGAAATATATATGTATTGATCTTGACTTTGTTGATAAAAAACTGTATTGTATTATATCATTTATCAGTTTTGTCATCAGCTATTGATTCTACCATTAACATCTTTATGATATCATTATCAAACCATCCTTGGAGAGGACCTAAATGTTAATGTTGTGAAAATGGACAGAAAATGAAATTTTAAAACATTTTAGTATAGGTTAGTGTTTATTAGCAATAATATAATTAAATCTTATGTGTTGGCCAACAGATTTAAAGGAAAAAATGCTGACTAACAAACACTAAACTGACTTCAGTGGTTGAAATTATAAAGAAAACTTAAAAGTGACCCTAGACACTAATTTTTATTTGATTTGATTGGGTTCAACATCGCACCAGATTTCCTGGAGGAAGAAGACCTACCATGCAAATGTATACTATTTAATGACAGACAAGTTTAAGTGCCGATAAAATTAATTAAATGTATCAAATTGAACATCTCATTGGACAAAATATAATTTCAACCTCTAAATTTTCTTTGAAAATGTTTGTTACCTCCATTTTACTGATACTGGATGAAAGAAGAGGCCTAGAGTCTGCAGCAACACTCCATAACAACTTCCCCTCGTCCTTATCATCGAGGGCAGATAATTTACCATCCAGTGTGCTCACAAGAATAAGCCTTCTGGAAAACAAAGGTACCAAAACTTTGTTGTTTAATGTAAGACAATGGCACAAAATAAAGCTTGATTAATACAATCTCAGACATAATATATTGGGACAAGCAACTAACTACCAACAAGATAAGCCGCCTTGTGTCAGCTGATTAATCAATAAGTGAAGTCAGTGGCGTAGCTACTCTTAGGCCATGTAGGCACGGGCCTACAAGTTGGTCAAGAAATTGACATTTTCAAAAGTCCCAAACATACAATAAAAACAGGCGAGGGTGGAGTTGGTAGTGGGTTCAAGCCGTATAGTCGAATCAAGTATGTGTGCATGATTTACCATCCTCAGTAAAGTTTGCATCTAATCAAATTCATAGTTTACAATAATTGTTTTGATAATTTTCCTTGAACATACTTTTGAACGCACATTTTGCTCTTTTTAATCTAAACTTGTTTTTGGCTTCTGGGGGCTAAGCCCCCAGACCCCCATTTATGTGCCTACAAGTTGAAAAAAGCTGGCTACGCCCCTGGAAGTATTTAAATCATATCTTTATATGCCATTGTCATAAAATAAAACATTGATAAAATTTTATTAAGTCATGTAAAGACCATTTAAATACTAACTAAAGTAGTAAAGGACTGTTAAAACTTAAATCATCTGTCAGTTGGCTTATATTTCTCTCATTTACACTGTTTGCTACATATAAATATATTGTCTTTCAGGACAACAATGAACATGATGGACAGCGTGTGAGCCCAATTCACGCTGATTGGAAGAGAAGACAACCTGTACGAAATGTTCCGTCCAGAAATGGAACGGGAATTAGCACATGAATTCCGCCCGGAATAAACGTAATCTGAACAAGTCAAATAAATAGCAATTTATTATGCAGCACTGTGCTTATATCCAAATGCTTGTCCTAATATATTATGTCCTAGATAGTAAGATACACTGTTGCAAACTAATTTTGCTTTTTGTTGTTTAACTATTTGTATACTGTTGGTGTTTTTTCTCGACATGTACGGTAATAAAATAAGTTCAAGGTCCTGCATGTGAGTTTGTTTTTTTAATCAGACTTTATTGATAATTGACAGAGTATCAAGGTCTTGTCTTGTAATTAAATCTTCATTTCAAATGCATAAATTTAACTAGATTATAATAGAAATAAAATTCAATGTTATCAACATTATTACCAGTTTTGATTTAAAAATTTCAGTTTAAATATTTACTACGGAAATTGATAATCAGATTATCATTGTTTTGATGAAGTAATAAAGCCAATATGACAATTTGCCAAAGACTTAACAATAATAAGTGGTGTGGTCGGTAATGTAACGATTCGCCACACTAACGATTCGCCACATAACGATTCGACACAGAGTAATAACGATTCGCCACAGTTAAATAACGATTCGCCACGTGTTCAAATACAAATTTTTTTCATATCTGTTTTCAAACTGTTGATGGAAAACTTTTTTCCATTTTATATTTCATTTGTTAATTACATAAATTAATTACACTAAATACACATTTTATTGAATAAAAACACACGAAAACCAAATATTTTATCTGGAACATACTAGTACATCCCAGATTTTATTAACAAAATTACATAACACATTTTATAACTTCGTTATTTATATAAACTGGAAAAATATACGTGTACGTATATTTAGTTTGTCTTGTAATTTGTCTTTGAATTTCTGAATATATTTAAATGCCATTATGTTTGTAATGTTTTGTACACGGACAATCTTTAAATATGACATTTTTTAAATGGATAAGTCATGCCTTCTACTACCTTTAAGGTCTTTTCTAGTAGATGTTTTCATTGCCTACTTAAGTTATAGCCATACCTACAATTAGAAGAACTTCTTACGAATACAAACAGAACGTGTAAAGCGCATTACAACATAAATATTACTATTGCGAACTTTTGGAACGAATTTGAATTTGACCATCTTTTGAATTTCATGAAAAAAAATCTTGAAAGATTTTTCCAGCATTCTAAAGGATTTGAAAGTTAACTAATCCCGTTTGCGTCTACAGCTTTCTTTTTCTAGACATTGAATCAATTTGAAGGTATTAAATTGTAATGGCTAAAGCTATAAAAATAGATAAAAAAAAATGTCTACAAATTTATGTGGGTATTTTATCTTTATTTATCTATATTATTGTTTTAATGTCATTTAATAATGTACTGGAAATAAAATTTCAAATGTCATAGATGCATATGGTCTCAAAGACTACTAAACAATGGATAATTAGCCGAGAACATTTTTGGCAGCCTTTCTGTTTTATGTGACATATATTCAACTTAAAAGACATAATGTTTTAAGTCACATTGAACACTTTGATTTTAACAATTTTTGAAAAAAGTTACAAGGACTGTTCTATCTCCAAATGTTTTCTTAGGGTTTTAAGCAAGGAAATATTAAAATCCACAAATCTTTAACGATATTGAGTTGTTCTCCTACACCACGTTTAGTAGTTTTTAAATTTTTTTGAAATCTGAATACATTGTCAGATAATTAAAGGATTATTTCGGCGTCAATTAAATATTTCTACAACAATCCTAAGGTGATTGGCTTGTTTAAATTAAAGGTGTGACAAATGTTTTACATATGCGTTCTTTAATCAATTATCGTAAATCAATTTTCGTATGAACACATGTTTTTGCAATACTTTGTTTAAATATTTGACATATATTATAATATATGAACTATATATTTATATATAAATATTAATTGACATATAATTATGTTTATGAGTAATTCAATAATTATTTCAACATATTATTACTTTCTTGTTAATGTACTCCTGTAATAATGTTACTTTGATAAATTGAAAATTCCGCGATGGGGGCCTTAACTTCATATTACTTGTATTAAGAAACATTATTAAATTATTGTCATTGTCAAATTATTAAAACAAAAGGAAAAAGTTTGTTGATTACTAAAAAATCATTGTTATAATCATACTGTGGCGAATCGTTATTTAACTGTGGCGAATCGTTATTACTCTGTGGCGAATCGTTATGTGGCGAATCGTTAGTGTGGCGAATCGTTACTAATTCGTGTGGTCCTACTATCCAATCAAATCACTTGTAACATTACCTGGATTAAAATAAACCAATCGAATTGCTTCTTTTGTGTGGACTTTAAATAGTTTATGTGAAGGTTGCAAATAACAAAACACTAAATGTTTACTAACATTTCATAAGAAAACAAAAAACACAAACAAAAAATGCTCAAATACCTATCTGAATTTATGTCACTGACAGGAATTTGATCGGATTTCTTTGAATCAAAGCTATCTTGAGCCCCATCCGCACCGTCCCAGTTTGGTGTCGCTTGCGAATGAGAAACTGTGAGGCAAAAAGCGCCGAGTGAGGCCGCAAACCACATTAAACAAGAATTCCATCGTTTGCACCTCTTTTGCCCCATACAGACTGTAAAACTAAAGTTTCATTAAAGCAAAAATGATCAAATGTGCTGATGAAATAGCGTAAATTTCCTTCCAGTAGTTTCGTGTTTACCTTTTGTAAGGTGATCAATGTCGTACGTTTTGATTGGACAATTCACCGGAAGTCCATGCTGAATGACGTGTAACTTCATTTGTCTCCCTTGATAGAATTAGTAATTTGCTATTTTTAGATTTTTGAAATAGAACCACTAAATTAAAATTGAAATAAAAAAAAAAAAAATTCAATTCACTTAATATTTCGTCGAATTATTATTGAACTTAATATAATATACTTAGTGTGTAAAGTAAAAGGCGCACAAAAGTTGAATTTGTCTTATCTTAAAATGGCACGTGACTTTTCCAGTAGTTGTGTCGCACCGAACGCACGGGAATTTCGTGGATGTTCAAAAACTGCATATATAAACTTAGTTTAACCTTGTCAGTGTTAGAATATCAGCGGAGCTCGGTGTTAGTACATGTAAGTTGTTTTCTTTTCCTGAGATAAGTTTACGGCGAGAAAAGTGCATGTAGGCCTACATGTAGACTTGTAATAAGCAGTTACAATAAAATTTCATGTCATAGAAACGCCTAGAAGTATAAAGCACGTGTAGCAATACAACAAAATTGAGTCCGGCATGCATGGTGGAAATTAATACATCAGGACATAATTCACCACATAATATTAACGTATGCTACATTACACTGTTAAATCCGATACATGTCGCACGTGACCGTTGTTGAGTACCATGATCAGTCATAGGAACTCGAGAACGGGACCGCAGATTGCGGCGTATATTTTCGATCGTGTAACGGTATTTTAAAACGTTTCTGCTACATCTAAATATCTTTTAGTATTATCCGAGTGTATGGACTCAAAAAATATATTATCAATTGAACCATATCTGTCTCTTTTAAAACTGGTCAAATTTTACGGTATCATAAAAAAAGACAAGGAGTGACATCCGCCATTTGCCGCAACGTTTTCGGCATGAGTTTTTCCCCTTTGGCTACAATTGATTACTATTTTTTCAGAATTTTGTTCCCGTTATTTTTGTCAACTATCAGGTATCGTCCGGATATAACGTTAACGGTTTATTGTTTACACGTGTTGACATGTTTAGGCGGCATTATATCGGGTGTATTCGTGTTTTGATTTGTTAACATGGAGAAAACAGACATATTAATAATATGGTCAAACTGGTTTTGCTTAACTGAAAAAAGGAATATTAAAACATGATCAATAGATAAATATTTTAGGCACTCATCTGGTATTCATAAGTAGAAAAATAAAAAACAAAAATCAAGCATATCAAGGGGGATTACTTACTCCGAACGTTGCGGCAAATGGCGGATGTCACTCCTTTTCTTTTTTCAATATACCGTAAATTTGACTGATTTTTAAATTAGCAGATTATATTAAATTGATATAAGATAATTAAAGACCACCCGCTCGCATAATATGAAAAGATATTCAAAGGTCGGACAGACTAAATGTAAAGCCGGTACGGATTCGGATTTATGCGCCGCAATATGCGGTCCTGTTCCAGAGTTCCTATGGATCAAGTTTGCATGGTATTCACACGTTTGCGTGATGCGCACATTGGTATATGATGCACATATTGGTTTATGGTTGATATATGGTATAGACAGTGGTAATTTATTTAGCATTATGTTTAAAGTTGAATGTGTTTTGTTTTGATAGTTTATTATCAATGACATACAATGTTTCGTTTAACTTCTCCACATGCACATGTTATTGTACTAGTACGAGTATGGTTCATACTATCTTCAAGTATCTTGTCATTTATCATGTGTCCGTTTACCCTCCTGGACAATTTGGACAAACGGAATATTGAAAATAAACTTATCGAACTTATGAAACACACATTGCTGTAGATTCTATTTAATATTTCAATGTTTCACTATCTTAAAAATGTTTATTTTTTAATTGTTAAAGTATTTGCTTATATAGAAGTTATCACTTTTTGGCACATAACACTCTTATTAACAGAGACTGGACTAAATGCATTTTCATAGATGTTTGAGTTTTTATGCACTGAAAATTTAAAGTGACATATATTATGCTTTTTCTGACAAATAGAGATGAATTAACTATATATTTCGGAAGAATGATATATATACATTTGTATTAAAATAATTGACAAAAAATAGATCAAAGTATTTTTTAGATTAAAGTGTGAAGTGTGAAATAAGCTTAGTTCTGTAACTAGAAGATTTATTCCTGTACTCTCTTACATATTCATTGTCTAAGATAAATATTGTGCCAATGATAAAAGAGATTGAACCTACCAAACATCCCACTTTGGTACAAGCTGATATCTCAAATACACAGGCACGAGTATCGGACCTGGGAAGAAAAAATATGACCAGATTGATAAAAAACCTGTGTTTATTTTAAAAAATGTCAACCCCCCTCCCCCCCCCAAAAAATGTAAATAATGACCCCCTTAAAAAATATACTATAAGTTAAGAGTTTACATTTTTTTTTTTGGGGGGGGGGGGGAGGGGGTTGACATTTTTAAGATGAACACAATTTTTTTTATCAATCTGGTCATATCTTTTCTTCCCAGGTCCGATACTCGTGCCTGTGCTCAAATACTACAGAAGGAAATTAGTTGAAACTTATTACTTATCTATAACTTAACTTCCCTTTTTGAACTTATCCAGGTTTAATATTAAGCACGAGAATAGTCGAGCGCTCTGTCCCACTGATATCTCTTGCTTTTATTTTTAGTAAAATTAACATAATAAAATCGAACAATTATCAGTGATATTTGATAAGTCTACACAGTGCTAAATTCGAAGATTATCTACAACTTAACACACTATTTGTGAGTTTACAAAATTAGCATTCTGACAAAATTAGCATTATGCAAATTCACAAAATACCCAAAAAAATATGAATATAACGTAAATGAAATGTGTTGGGGGATATTACTTCTTCTTTTTTTCCTTTTTGGAGACACAAATGTGTTTAAAACAGACATTGATAAAATATGAGCCAGAAAGTAAAATATATTCACTTAACTTTTTAAAATCTTTTTTTTTAATGGGATGATCCACGGCACTGAAAAGAATAATATTAAATGAAAATCGCAGCCTTCTTTTTAAATTTGTGTGTTATAAAATTGTAACAAAAATGTTTTCTCTTAATTAATTGGACCCTCTTTTGCGAATGCATTGAATGCTAAATCTTTTACAGATAGATCCATAGATAATTTGTAAATTTAGCGCTTTCTTAGACGTGATAGTTTTTATGCTCCCCGAAAAATTTCGGGGGAGCATATAGTCGGCGCCTTGTCCGTCTGTCCGTCCGTCCGTCTGTCCGTCCGTTGTCTTGTCCGGAGCATAACTTGAAAACCCTTGGAGATAATTTGTTGAAACTTCATACAGTGGTAGAGGGCATCGAGGGGGAGTGCAGTGTCAAAGAACCATAACTCTATTTTGCCCGGTTTTTGAATTATCTCCCCTTATAGAAAAATCTTGTCCGGGGCATAACTCTAAAACTATAAGAGATATCAACATGAAACTTTGTAGGTGAATAGATCTCAATGCGTAGATGTGCACTGCATAAGAACAATAACTCTTTTTGTCCTAATTTTGGAGTTATTGCCCTTTGTTTATTTTAATACTTTGAACTTGAACTTTGTCCGGAACATAACTTGAAAACCCTTGGAGATAATTTGTTGAAACTTCATACAGTGGTAGAGGGCATTGAGGGGGAGTGCAGTGTCAAAGAACCATAACTCTATTTTGCCTGTTTTTTTAATTATCTCCCCTTATAGAAAAATCTTGTCCGGGGCATAACTCTAAAACTATAAGAGATATCAACATGAAACATTGTAGGTAGATAGATCTCATTGAGTAGAGGTGCAGTGCAAAAGAACCATAACTCTGTTAAGCCTTATTTTTGAATAATCTCCCCTTTTAGAAAAATCTTGTCCAGGACATAGCTGTAAAACTATAAGAGATATCAACATGAAACTTTGTAGGTAGATAAATCTCAATGGGTAGATGTGCAGTGCACAAGAATCATAACTCTACCTCGCCTAATTCTGGAGTTATTGCCATTTGTTTATTTTTACTTTTTGAATTATCCAGGACATAACTCGGAAATCATAAGAGATATCATCAAGAAACTTTGTAGGTTGATAGATCACATTGATTAGAAGTGCAGTGCAAAGAACTGTAACTCTGCCTTGCCTAATTTTGGAATTATTGCACTTTGAACTTTTTCCACGAACATAACTCTGAAACTACAAGAGGTGTACTTTCCTGTGTCCAAAACCTATTCGGGGAGCATCACCCGGCTCAAACCGGGCTCTTGTTGTTTTTGTTGTGCACGAGAACTCGAACATTGTAGAGATAAAGCCTTAGGACCACCAGAGTCTATGCTAGTGATGGTCATACTATTGACTTAAATAAAATTCTATCTGCTCAAAATACCATCGGAACGAATGTAAAACTAACGCATGAATTGTGCAATAGTAACACCGAACAGTGCCGAATACGAACCTTTGATAATGTGTACCCCTCCGTTATGACTGAATGTGTCGTTTTCTTGAGTTGACTACCATGCAAAATTTTGTTGTTTCTCAAGTGTAAACTTTTACATAAGTAGTAATAAACATAAACATATGTGTTATTTTTTTCTGTATTATAATGCATACATAACGTTTGACAATACATCAATATCGGCCGCAAGCATTTTTTTAAGATACAAAGTGTATAAATAAAACTTCAGTTGATGTATCACCTATTAAAAGTATTGAGAAAGATAACGTTGTCCTACTTTTAATCAGGATCAGATACGACAGACCAGATCCCGATAAAAAAGAAACTCATCTGACTTTTTGACATGACAGGACTAGATAGGTATATCATATGATAAAGGTCTGGGCATTAAGAAAACTCACTCACTCTGTTTGCTACAGAAGTGGAAAGACTTAAATCACAGTTTTAAAATGATCATTTTAATTGTGAAAAATGACATGAAAATGATAAGTTTTTAAACGTTTTTTATTCAAATAGGGCTAAGAAAATGGATTTTCAGAGTATATTTCTTTATTATCTCTGAACAAAATATTGTGCTATTTTGTGAATGCGCCATTCGCGTTTAATCCAATAAATTACCATTCTTACCATATTTATTTCATACAAAGCATTTTGGAATATACTTTTTACAATTCAAAGATCATTTTTGCATGAGATATATAGCTCTAAATACTTAATTGGCCTACTTAAAACGGGGGAAAATGTGCAGTTTATTCTGTTTACGTACATTATTCATGTGTATTAAGTAACAGAATAATGTGTATTAAGTAACAAACAAAAAGTAACAACTTTTTAGGAAATCACCCATATAATAATGGAACAAAATAATTTTACTGTTGATAGATTTTATTAAAATATTTCATAAGATATACATTTATTCCCTTTAATATATGCATGACTTTCAAATATTTTCTTCTTAGGCTTTTGGAGTTACCTTAACTCCCATCTTTGCAAAGGCAAGTGGTAAATAAAACTAAATGTTTCACAGCTGGAACATATTTATATATTTGAATTATACTCATATTTTTCATGTGAGGTATCCAGTAAGCTAATTAGAAAGGTCGGTACTTCTTCCCCGGTGTCCGTTTATGCCGACATAATACTAAGTCTTTGTATTGCCTCGCCTTTCATGCCTATACGCTGATGATACTTGTCATATATAACCAGTCTGTTCCAACTAGTTTATGCAAATATCACCTTATATTAATTTCTATTTCTATATAACAAAAAGTGTCAGTCAATGTAATTAGAATTGGCAAAAAGTATCTTCACGGCCATTTCCACCATGGCGTTTGTACTGTAGTTTTCTGGCACTAAAGTCTGTCTCGTAAATTAGCGTTTTTTTATCCAGACAGTGGCTTGTAACAAATGAGACAACATTTATGTATCATTAGAAGTAACCACAAATAAATCATTTATTAATAGTCTTCGACTGACTTTTATATTTGAACAAAAAGCAAAGGTTGGGATAGTCAAAGATAAGAATGATCTCGCTGGTGTTTAGAGCCCCCATTACCTGTATAATGGGTTTGGGTGATCATTATGTACGTCTTGCTATCCTCCGATCAATACCTCGAGGTGTAATAAGCCCAAGTTTTTGAAATTTTGTATGGACTTTGGCCATGGTCAGTAGATAATATCAATTTCTGAAGTCAGATCATGATGCAAAGGTAGAGGTCACAGTGACACTCTAAATCCTCATTTGATCCATACATTAGAAGTAGTAAGCCTTAGTCTATGAAACCTACATAAGGACATTGTCCACAGTCAATAGGAGTTGGTGATTGCTTTCGAATTTGAGGTCATTGGGTCAAGGTAACAGTGACAAATGAAACCTTTGTGACTTTCAGAGTACTACTTTTCCACGAAGCAATCTTGAATATACACTTAAACCGATCCACAAATCCATATTCTTTTAAGGATGTGAAATATACAATGCCTAAATTACTTTGGTGACCACCAACTAACATTTTGCTTTAAAGTACTACACAATCTTTGAGGGAATTGTATTATTTCTGAAACGTCTTTAGGGTTTCGATCGAAAATGATCCCGTGGATTTATATGCAACGACGTTGCATATTTCTATGGCCATGACAACTAAAATGGAGGAATAGTTAAATAACACATCAAAACTAGTTATTTTTGTCATTTCAGTGCATTACATTTGACTATGTCTGGCAGAGGTAAGGGCGGTAAAATAAAGAAGGCTGGAAAGTCGAGATCAAGCCGAGCCGGGCTACAGTTCCCTGTTGGTCGTCTACATAGACTTCTCAGAAAGGTACAGTTAATATTACGTTCGCTACAGTGTAAGTCATTGACCAACCACTGAATGTATTCATTTGAACCCTTTGGGAAGTTATACTAGTCGACTTTAGACCTATAGCTCTAACATGATTTTGAACTATTCCTGTTCCCAAACACTGGTAACATAATATAATGCGAGTACGCCGTCTTTATGATATAATTATTATGATTATAGTTTATGTTTGGTGTACGGTACGTGACTCTCATCCTTTAAGGACATTTGTAGTGGCGCCGAAGAAAATGCAAGGTGTCAATGATGTCTTTGTATGATATATGTGTACGAGATCGTAACGTATATTTAAGCTTAACAATTGTGTGCTTATTTTATTATAAAAGACGTACATGCACTTAGAAATATTTGAATGTATCAGCTTGAGAAAAAAAGTGCTAAAGAGATATGACATGTATGTCTTTGTTGATAACATTCAAACATTGACGTTTTAAAAAGCCATAATTTCCTATTTAGAATATCAAAAAACTGTATAGTAGTATTTACTGAAATTTTTAATATTAAGTGCTAATTAAGTCTGCCAAGCACGTTTGCGATAAGCAGATCAGAACAGATTTTAATTTATTACTCAGTATGACTTGAACATAACAGTTCCTCGACACACAAATATATGATTAGCGATAATAACGATTAGCATTTAGACTATGAAAATGATATCCGCATCTGGAATGATTATTTTAGTTTAGATATAATATGCTTTTGTAACAGCATTTTATACGCCCGCAACTTAAGGAGGATATAGATTGTCCGTCTGTCCCGCTAAACGCTGTCAGATAGTTCGTAGACTAACATAACGACGGATTGTGAGGTATCCCATTCTAGTTCTAAGGACATTTTTACAGTGCCATAATTGCAGACAGCAAAAAGTTTACCTAATACAAATTTTAATTATTAGTAACCCTTGCTTGCTTTTAATTCTTTTAGTGCTTTAAATGTATTTAAATATCTAACGTCAACTATATATCTAGCTATTTCCCAGAAATGTGAAAGGGTCATCGCCTTTGAATGAAAAAAAAACTGAAAAGCGAAAACACGAAAGTCCGAAGACGAGAACGTGAATGTCATACATGAAACTCAAAAGTTTGAAGACGAAAACACAGAACTCAGAAGTACGATCACAAAAATCGAATATACAATAACATAGGCTTGAAAGTTAGATAACGAAAACTCGAAAATACGGTCACAAAGACTCTAAAGTACGATTTTGAAAACTCGAAAGTACAAAGATGCAAAAACACAATAATGAATATCATTACTTTCGCGTTTGTCATCGTACTTTCGTGATTTCAAGACTTATGTTTTATTCATAGGCGATTACCCTAACTTAGCACAGTACCTTCTGGTATACATATTATATACATTGGTTTATATTGAGTTAACACCAGCTATTTCCTTCTGATAATGTAATTCTGTAATGAGGTTTAAAATATGTATTTAATATTTTTGCACATTTCATTTACAGGGAAATTATGCCGAGAGGATCGGAGCCGGTGCCCCTGTTTATCTGGCGGCAGTTCTCGAGTATCTGGCAGCAGAAGTCTTAGAATTGGCGGGAAACGCTGCACGTGACAATAAGAAATCCCGAATAATCCCGCGACACATTCAGTTAGCAATAAGAAACGATGAAGAACTGAATAAAATGTTATCTGGTGTAACAATATCGCAGGGTGGAGTCTTGCCCAATATTCACAACTCTTTGCTGCCCAAGAAGACGTCAAAATCATCCAAACAGCCCTCATCCCAGTCACAGGAATTCTAATATCTTTATTTAGAATCGGTTTTCAAAATGTGAAAATATTTGAAGCTTGATATAATATGAAGTCTATGAGTTGTTTGTTAAATTGAAATCTTTCTTGGACGATAATGTTATTTTACAGTCATTTTGTTAATAAATAAAAGAAATTCTTTATTAACTTTTGAATTTTCAGTTGTCTTTAGCTATTTTCTGATTGCTGATCTGATTTCAAAAACTAGAATTGTACCATGTGCCCTAGTAAAAAAAGTGGTTCTACTCCAGTGGCCTGAAATAATGCACATAAGTTCCTAAGGCCATCCGCCACTTGTCAGCTGGTAAGTCACGATATGACCACTGCGACGTACAACCCAACAAAAAAATGAAACATAAGGAAAGGTAGTAGAAATGTTCTACGGCTATTTACAGTTAAATAAAACGCCCGAACAATCCAGATATGTTGTAAAAAGGAAACCGGTTTCTGCAATTATATGAAAATTCACCTAATTATCAGTGACTGAATTGATGTAATCAACATCAAATCACACAGTGACTGAATTAATGTAAACCGTATCTAACAGTGACTGAATTAATGCAAACCGTATCAAACAGTGACTGATTTAATGTAATAAGTATCAAACTGTTACTGAATTAATGTAAACCGTATCAAACAGTGACTGATTTAATGTAATAAGTATCAAACTGTTACTGAATTAATGTAAACCGTATCAAACAGTGGCTGATTTAATGTAATAAGTATCAAACTGTGGCTGAATTAATGTAAACCGTATCAAATAGTAACTGAATTAAAATAATCAGATCACACAGTGACTGAATTAATGTAAACATTAACAAACAGTGACTGAATTAATGTAATCAGTATCAAACAGCCACTGAATTAATGTAGACCTTATGAAACAGTAACTAAATTAAAAAAATCAGTATCAAACAGTGACTGAATTATTGTAATCAGTATCAAACAGTGACTGAATTAATGTAATCAGTATCAAACAGTGACTGAATTGATGTAATCAGTATCAAACAGTGACATAATTGATGTAATCAGTATCAAACAGTGACATAATTGATGTTATCAGTACAAAACAGTGACTGGATTAATGTAATCATTATCAAACAGTGACTGAATTAATGTAATCAGTATCAAGCAGTGACTGAATTAATGTAATCAGTTTCAAACAGTGAATGAATTAATATTATCAGTACAAAACAGTGACTGAATTCATGTAATCATTATCAAACAGAGACTGAATTAATGTAATCAGTATCAAGCAGTGACTGAATTAATGTAATCAGTGTCACACAGTGACTGGATTAATGTAATCAGTGTCACACAGTGACGGAATAGATATAGTGACTGAATTGATGTTATCAGTATCAAACAGTGACTGAATTGATGTTATCAGTACAAGACAGTGACTGAATTCATGTAATCAGTATCAAACAGTGACTAAATTAATGTTAACATTATCAAACAGTGACTGAATTAATGTTAGGTTGATCGATACGTAACTGAATTTATGACCCACTATCAAACAGTAACTGGTATCTTTTTATGAAGTTTACAAGCCCTTCTTGATATATGTTAAAAAACTACGATCTATTCAACACAAAACAGGAAGGTGCAAAGAAAACTTAAAGTTATTAACTGATGGCCAATACTGAATGAATGTATAAATAGATTATTAATTAAATAAAAAAGGAATGTCGCTATAGTAATAGGTTATGAAGTATTTATAGGTTATATATAATTTTAGATAATGCCATAGAATCCTGACTTACTGCATTTGGTAAAGCAGACTAATATTGGGTTTTTTTGTAATATAATGAAATCGTATAGAAAATATGGATTAATTTGGGAGTGTTTCTATTTCTGTTAATTGCAAGGATATTAGGAAATGAATTGTTCCATTCTTAAATCTTAGTTCACACGGACCAGTTGTCCAAGTTCTCCATTGACTTGATGTCAGCTTATATTATTATTAAAGTTATTAATTTTTCATTATTTTACCATTTTGCGAGATTTTTATACATAATTTTTTGTTAAACTAATTGATATATATTTAAAACCTATCTTTCGTTGGTTATTAAGTTGTCAGGAAATTAAAATACCGACAGCGCAATGCGTTCAATCCAGTCTGGTCAATGATTTATTCCATTTGAAGAAGCTATCTACCTTCCTAACGACAAGAGCCGCCCCGACCCTTTTACATCCGCAAACTCGAGAATTATTAAATAAAAATATTATGTTTCTATATAGCGTTATGTACTAAGGTAGACAACTATTGCAATAACAGTAAATACAGTCGAAACGTTGTTGCTTACCTTTAACTTGTTCTGCCTATACTATAAAGATAACTAAAACACCATTACAATGTCTATGAAATGCGGAAATAATAGACAACGAAATCAGGCAGGTAATATATAAAAAGTGCACAATAAATAATTGAGCTGCTCTTTAATTGTTGATGTAGTCGCAATATCATTAACGAAGTGATAAAATGTGTTAAATTGTGTACAGCCGTAATGAAATAAATGTTTTCAAAATATAAAGGAAGTAATTAAAACATCATTATATATTTTTGGGTAAATGGAACTTCCACGGTCTATTGTGTTATTGTGACGTTTTACATGGTGATCTTTCTGTGTTCGTACTTTTATTGCATCCGGCCTTTACAGCGTTCACATGGCGCTTTCACGGCTATCTCAATGCATTGACCGTATAATGAACATTTATGTTTCTGCAACCAAGAATAAAACGTATTGACGTATACATGCATGACTAGCTTTTACTACAAAGTAAAAAAACGCACTTGCCACCATGATCTAACCCTAATGTAACGCTATTTACTCCGTCGTTGTCGTAGAATGATATGAACCATGTTGGAATATTCGTGATCCTGCTGTAGTACCTGCGGCACGAGCGTGTAATTACGAAGTTGTCCGGATTGGTACCTATTATGATCCATAGTGAAATGAATGTTTATCTGCATAGATGTATTTTCATTTGCATTTTGTCCATTTTGTCCTTAAAAAACATCCAACAAAGTGGGCATAGTGGAATCCGTGACTTCTTACAACTGGTGTAAGGGCGTATTTAAATGTTAAAACTCTGTCAAAGCGCGGTTTACGAACACCTGTGCGCTTTCGCAATGCTCCTGTTGCTTTAGTGATATCGCTGTACTTAAAGCCATGAATATGTTCAATTTCTGGGTCGTAGGTCGGCCATCTATGCGATGCTGCGCCGTTACTATCGTGCGGTCAAATTAACAAAGCACGGTTTTTGCTTATATTTTCTACATGATCTAGCTATTTCTTGCCAATATTTAGTGAATGAATCACTTTATTGAAAACTGTACACCCTTTTATTCATAATAGATATACTTTGCTCAAATTTGGTATTTGAAAATATTGACTACTACTACACCGTGTCTGTAAGAATGATTAGGCTTCATTCAAAGTAGATATATTATGTTTTAAACACTTTTAGTGGTCATAATATGCATATATAGTGTCAGTAAAAAAACTGGCAGTTTTTTTTTTAAGAAAAGACCAACTTCACTTGACCTTTGATAGGGATTGCAGCTTTCAATACAAAATTTGAACGCTTCTTTACTCAAATTAAGAACTTTCAGTAAGGATTTCATGCAGTTCAATAAATTTATATGATTACATTGTGTTACTCAAAGATGAGCTTAGTATATCTTTAAAATATTTCTTTAATTTCATATAAATACAACGAATTTGACTTTATCCGGCGTAGATGTTTTTTCTGTCCATATTGGTGAAACTACTATCTATAAAAGGAATCATTTCTGTAAATATCAAATTTCCAAGTAAATAAATAATTTTTGAAAAGACCTTTAGTCATAACAGAACTGTTTTTGCAATGAAATGAGATATCATAGAGATTAGTCTTATATAAGGATGATGCTATTTGCGTTTATAAATGGTCTAAAGTATGTTTTCAAATAATATATCATACTTGGGGAGAGATTAAAAAATCTAATTTCTTGTGAATGAATTTGAGATATATGGTTTTACTTAATTCATGGATGAATCATACAATTCATAAAATTCATACAATTCATTCATAGAAACGATCAGATTTTATAAAATTGTCGCCGAACATTGACAAGACAGCACATTCTGGTTTTTTTTGTCGAGCATATTTTGAAGTAATATCTATATATAAGGAATGTTAGAGAGAACATAACTGCAGGATAAGACGGCTGGCGTCCATCTCGTGAACAACGTGCTGATAGGCAGTATGCAGGTATATACTTTAATTCTATCTGTTTAGTTTCTAATTAACACTTTCATTTAATTATTTATACTTATGTTTATAATTAATTATTAAATAGGAGAAAAGAGAAGTTATTTGATATTTTATAACTTTGATGAATAATGGAAATGTTAACATGAATATTAGAAATAAAGTACTTATAGACATAAATATAAACGGACATTGCGGCGAGAACAATGATATTAATATCGTGGCAACTTTATCATTAGATTGATAGAATAAATAAACGTCGTTTAATGATATCACATTAAAACATAATTTCTTTTTTAAAAAATAAATGAAAATATAGGAAAAGGACAACTTATTTTTTAATCCTTTCAAGAAATTCATTACTATAAGTCTTAAAGAAACATTATGCTATTTTGTTTCATTATAAAGTAGAGCTTAATTGACTACAAATTTCAAAAAATTGACGGTGACTGACCAACAGTTCGTGTTTGAAAATGTTTAATATAAAATAGAAATTTACCGAAAATATAAACAAACTATCCACTCTTTTTATAAATTGGGCGTCACTTGGGGTTAATTGTGATTGATATTTACAGAAAATTCCTTGATTGAATGTATGTTATTTATTGTTCATGCTAAGTAACTTTAAGAATTTAAAGGAATAAGGACAAAATGAAGACTTACTTTGGCTTTCACCTGTTCACTCACTATTAACTCTTGGGTCGGCATAACGTCACTTTAATGTTTTAGAATTTTTCCAGTTTCTTACCAACACAGCAACTTTTATCTTCGACTTAGGTATCCTTTCCAAGCTACTGAAAATTCCTTCATACATGCATATACTAAAGTAACATGAATTATTTTTGTATCTAATTAAAACGCCTGTTTATTTTTATAGTTTTTATATTCAGACTTAATAAAAAATATTATATTTATTTATCTAATTCATTATTTGATGAGAATAAAATCATAATTAAATAAGAATGAAATCACAAAATGTTATATTTTATTTTTGGTCGTATTTCGTGATGTTGAAATCTTATTTATATACTTTATCATATTGTAAATCGTGTTGCTATTCTAGTTATTTTGCTCTTAGACAGTAATATAGCTAAATATTTGAAATATACTTGAAAAAAGAAATAAAAATTGGACAAGAATAGTTCAATATAATGTAGTTTATATTAAAAGAACTCGCGAATTGATATGATTTTTTGTATTTTGTATTTTCTGTTTTCGCATCATATTAAAGTATAATCAAATGATTGCAGACACATCACTGTCGAGTGGTTTACACCTCAAACCCGAGGAAAACCTGTCGAAAATATAATTACTACACATTTCTAGATTCAGCCATATTTTTTTTGGATATTTTGGGGGCTTTTTTAAAGTTATTTTTGTTCCATCCCCCCCCCCCCCCCCCCCCCCCCCAGCATACCGTTTTCTTTGGTTAAGTTTTTGACAATTAAATAGAAGGCACAGTTAAATACCGTACACATAACAAATCTTCTTGGTAACTTTTAAAAGAAAAAAAATATTTTGATACCGATGATAGACTCTACCCCAGTTTTAGCAATTGTTCACATATATTTGTTATAAATAAATAAATTGATTGGCAATTAATGAATTCATATGTTGTTATAAGGCTGATAAGTCTATTACAGTGTCTGTACAGCATAAAAAACCTAAAGTTAGCTAACTAGAGTTAAGTGTTGTCACGGATACAAATCAAGTGAATTGACCTAACTTAAAACACTTTTAACAGCATTCACCTTAAACTTTTCAAAATATGTAGAAAATTTTCCGTTAGTAACAAGGTAAAAGTTTGGTAATACATATTAAAATCTATTTGTTTTTCATAATACATTTTTACCAGCATTGCAAATATTTATACCTTTCTAAAACCTTTCTTAATATTTGGTATTTTTCTAAAACCTTTTTTACTCAAATGGAGTCACTTTAGTGTCATAGCATACCCATATGTACGATCTTGTACGTCAGAAATTATTCTATTTTAGGTAAATTTTAAATTATTTCCTGCCTCATTGAATATTATCATGTTATAGAAATAAGACAAAATATATCTCTGCTTGTTTTAATATCAGTACGGCAGTTTTACCTCTTTAAAGATTCAGCTTAGAGGCACACTATTGAAAAAGGAACCGAAATTTTCAGCAAAAAGCCGATATTTATATTATATTGTTGAAATATTCACATTCGTAAACAAATATTGAAAAAATATTTAAATGCTTTCTGGTGTAAACAAAATTATGAAACAATTATGAAATACCGACTCATATAAAGAAAACTGGAGTAATTTATTATACTTTCTCATGTAAAAACATATTAAATGAATTGTTGCTACAAGTGGGTTGATATCTTGCCATACATATCTTTATTTTTCAGGTTTTTGAGCTGTGTGTTTGGACCGTCGTGGCAGTTATTCATTTAAACTACAGTATAGCAAAACCTATGGAACCGCATTCTATCCAGAATAAATTAAAAAGAACACAAGATTCCAGCTTAGCTACCAGCAGACTCTATTTGCACAGCACACAGACAAACAGGACCGGACACGGCCATTCCGACACGTATCCAAGGCCTAGTGATTGGCAATGCCGTTCTGAGAATCGCTGGCTTAATCTTGGTGAGAATTATTACCCAAGATTTTTAAAACATGTTTTGTGCACATCAAGGTTTTGCTACAACGACTTCTACACCTGTTTTCCACAGTATTACCCATTGACAGTCCTAAGAAAGCTTCAAGAAAATGAAATACCAACTAGAAACGAAACAGTCCTGTCGGCACTCCCTCCTCCACTCCGACATACGTATTCTTTTGAAGTTATAGAAGTGTCCGTCGGCTGTGTATGCGGGCAATAAAAATAAACACTTTCCGTGTTTTCATTCCGTTTAGCAAAATCATTCCGATTGATATGTTTTTTCCGCATAAATATTACTACCTGATTGAATAACAGAGACTTAAGATATACAATAAAGCTCTGTGTAAATACATAGATAACAAGTATATTGACATTTCATAAAATTACAAGGAATCGCAAATCAGCCGTGTATTGGAAGAACAGTTTTTTCGTGAAATACACCCCTTCCATCCAGGGAGGCTTAAGCTTCGTACATGAAGATTTCATTTCAATTCTTTATATATTAGGTAACCCAACAAATAACATGGCGCATGGCTTTCGCCAAAGGCGTTCCTTTTTTAGGACTTTTGTCGTCTATGCTGTTTATCATGTGGTATTAATATTTCCATTCTGATTGCCTTCAGGCAGGCGGTATATGGGAAGAAATGCTTAAATCTTAAAACTGCATAGAATGCCGAATATCTGCTTACAGATAAATACATTATGTGAGTAGTGTGCAATGTGTAATAAGAGGTTTCCTTATTATAAAAATAGGACGTTCATTTTGTTTAATAAATACAGCAGTGCATATTCTATATGCTTGAACCATTCCACGTAACAAGTCATTTTTCACACGACAGACACAGTTTTGTAATAAAAAGGTTTCTTGTTATGTAATAAGTATGACTAACATGACTTTGTTTGACTAACAGCGTCGTCGGTCTGAACGGTTCGTTCTAGTATTTTTGCATTGTTTGGGCATGTATCAAGTCCTGCAATTCACGTTGAAATGCTCAAAATGTTAATGTTGATACTCATAGATAAACATTGATAATTTGTTATTGTTAGAAACATTTTGCTAAATGGTTTTTAATTAGTTGAAATAATTGAACTGAACAAAAAGAACTGTACAATAAAAAACAAAACATGTTATATATTACCCTTATTTTAGTTATGTTGGCATTTACAATATCAGATTTATGTTACTTTTTGCTGAAGTGTTTACTACGGAAACGTTACAGGGCCTCCATTTAATGCGATCATGAGGTGTTAGACTACTCACTTTTTGAAGGTCCTATAACGTTTTAAAAAATAAAGATAAATTTTAGATGCATGCATCAACTTGTAAATTGAAGTATAAATAGATGGATATTCAAGTTTTTTCTATAAATACATGATTTATTTTAAATTCGAGTAGAATGAAAATAAATTTTCAATGAGTGGCGGGTAGCCACGAGTGAAATGTGGTATTAATTTCATGCACAAGATGAAAATAAACCATGTATTTATAGAAAAAACTTGAATTTTTCTTTTAATTATATACATTTTTCTCTTTTTTTTGCGATAAAAATTTGGAAAGATCTTTCCATTAAATTTTGTTGTACTGGCAGAATTTAAAAAGAAAGTAGCCCGGCAAGACACCAGTGAAAATACGGAAAAATATGTTTCATGCAGTGAAAAAATAAAAGTTTAACATGAATACGGAACAAATGAAAATACCATTTTTATTTCATCACATATTTCTCAATATATTCATTTTATAAGTATAGAATAAAACGCTTTACTTGCAAAAAAAAATTTTTTTTCTTAAACTTCCAAGTTCACTAAATATTAAGTTCATATTGAATTTAAAACTTTGAAGAAAAAAAATCAATGGACGTTTTAATTTTGATCTTGAGCACAGGTAAGTGTAAACACGAAGCCAGGCTTTGTTTGTTTATTTATTTATTTCGTAGGCCTACATGGCACATATACCCGCTCGTGTTTAAATTAATGCACGATAGGGAACTAATAAATTTGACTAGTTGATATAAACTTCTTTGTCGATTGCTGAACCTTGGACAAAAAACTGTCTACATTATTTTCAATAATATTATCAGACACTGACTTAGAATCTTACTTACAAATTTTTGTTGCATTTTAACTTCTTTGTTACCCAGACTTAAACTAACTTTTCATGTCATCAGTTGCACCTTGAAGGTTCATAACTTTCGCATCAATTTTTCAATTTTTCATTTTTTTATATCCTCTTTGAATATAAAATTTTGTGTAAACATGATATTATACACTCCTATAATTTTTGGTATTTAAGGGAAACTCAGATTATTGTCTACGAATTTTTACTATTGATTTTCTATGGGTTTTTCCCATAAAACTTTTTATCATTATATCATTTTACATCTTTGTTTTTTCCGTGATCAATGACTTGTCGGTTTGAAAAAAAAAATTAATGCATATTTTTTTATTTCTTCGGTATATTAAATTGCTGTGTGGAATTGTTGTTGATAAGTAATCTTGTATATTTGAGCCGCGCCATGACAAAACAACATAATGCATTTGCGACCAGCATGGATCCAGACCAGCCTGCACATCCGCGCAGTCTGATCAGAATCCATGCTGTTCGCTTACAAACCCCATAACAAGTAAAGAAACTGATAGCGAACAGCATCGATCCTGATTATACTGCAAGCATTTTGTTGGTTTTGTCATGACGCGGCTCATTTTTAGAAATTCTACTATAGTAACATCACCTGATTAATCGACACACTGGTGTTACTTTATTTTTTATGATAAACAATATTTATCGTCTATCCAAATACCTTAATTGAAAAATAGACAGTGAAAATTTTTATATTTTTACATTTAGACATTTTGGTCTTGTTTGGTTTCCAGTGTTTGTCTAAAGGTGTTTTTTTTTCCTTAAAAAGAGAGTTTTCAATTAATTATCAATGATTTTTTTTCCATACTGGTTTATTTGTAGTGAATTAATTATATATTACTTTTTTATTTACCCGCATAGTTGTTAAAATAGACACTGGATATGAGTTTTTATAACAGTATAATCGTTAAACAAATTTAGAAATGTATTCATATAAATATATCGGCTTATTGTATTACTTCTACTTCTCAAATTATCTAATTAAGTTATTTGATCTCTCATTGTCATATAATGAAATTTTGCCATACTTATATATATTGTATGATTAATAACATATAAGAACAATTATAGTTTCAATACGATTAGTAATTTTAAAACTGCCGTGAAAGATAAAAAGAATTAGAATATAAATTGTTAGAGTTGTTTCCTTTCAAATATTTTTTAAAAAAAAAAGGGGAAAAAAAATAATCTTTTTTTCTTTTAAAAAAAGTTTGATAACGGAAAAAACCCCCCCCCAAAAAAAAAATAAAAAAATTTTAAAAAAAAAAAAACAAAACAATTTTTCCCTTTACAAAATTATTATTTTAATTTAGAAAAAAAAACAAAATTTGTAGTTTGAATTATCTTTTCCTTTAATTAAAAAGCCCCATTTAAGACTAAAATTCCAAGCCAAAGGGGTTTCAATTTTTATTACAAAATAAAAAGTTCAGGTAACACCTTTAAAAAATTAAAAAAAAAAAATGTTCCGGAAAAAAGGATTGACATTTTTGGATAAGGGTTTGGGGGGGGTTGGGTGGGGGTTGCAGGGATACGTCATCAAAAACAGAAAATTTTTTGTGCATAAAAAATCCTTTTTCACCTGATATAGGAATGAAGACCTCCCTTTTTAAAGGGTAGAAAATTCTTACGAAAATTTTTAAAAGCTTGACCTTTGTAAACAAAACATGAGCAAATGAGAGGGGATAGGTTTTTAAAATGGTAAAAAATTTCAAAAATGTGACCATTCCAATGTCCCTTCATTTTTGTAAATCTTGCCATATTTTTTTATTCCCCACCCCTCATGGGGTCATTTTTAAAAGCTATTTTTGAAAACTTAAAAATGTTCAGATCTTAGGGTTTTAAAAAGTATTTTCCCTTATATAAATAATTTTAAACATAATTTTTTAATCTAATCATATTTCCCGGTTTAAGTTTGCAACTGACTTACTTTTTTGAATGAGGAATACTTTTTGTGAAAAAAAAATAAATTCCCCAAAAAAGAATTGAGCAGGGTGAAGTTTTTTAAAGTCTTGTCGAAAGTTCCCGTTTTGCCGGTTTCGATTGTTTTTTTGTTTTTTAAAATTTTCGCTGCAAGCATTTTAGGACTAACTCAAGTAAAAATTTAATCAATGTCAACAATTTAACCAAGCCGTTTTGATTACTATCGTCGTAAAGTTGTCGCTATTTAAAATGTACATTATCGTTAATTGAAAAATAGCAACAAAAAAAACAAAAAACAAAAAAACCAAAAAAAAAAAAAAAAACAACAACAACAACAAAAAAAAAAAAAAAAAAAAAAACGTATTTTAATGCAACAATTTATTTATTCATTTTGTATATCTTCACAAAAATACATACATTTGAAGATTTGTATAAAGAAAAAAATCAAGATCCACGCATTGCTAAGGGAATAATAATTGTGGAACTGGACAGTAAGCCACATTTCAAATAGTTGTGGTCTAAGATTATTCTTTATATAAACTTTCATGTATTAACATAAAAAACCAAGACAGGTCTTAGTATAACCAGATAATTCATGCTGTAAACAACAATACGCATTAAAACATGTTAAAACGCTAACTTTTAATTGAAACATTTTATTCCTGAAAATGTAATAGAATATCTTAATGTCTGTTACAACATTACTTAAATTGATAAAGAATTTTTATTTACAAGTAAACTTAATCAAATTAAGTAAAATGTCATTTTGCATTTTATTCATCGTGGCTTTGTGTTCATGTTTTAACAATGTCAAGCTGCTACCAAATTTCATGAAAAACATCAGTTGAAATTGTATAGTTTGACACGTTCACATAATAAACGTTAGCATATTTTTATGTAAAAATTGTGAAAAAAACCATAACCTCAGACTCATCTACTTTTTGTTCAGTCAGGTGTTATTCTGTATAAAGTATAAAAAAGACACAAACTTTTGAATTTATGCCAAGTTATGTAACATCGACGTCACAATAAATCATGCCTGTTTTTTATTAAAGTCATTGGGTGTCTTGGCAACATTTAGAACGGAAAAAAGGTTTTTTTATCCACACATAACTAGGTCTTATTCAAGTGAAAATTCTGGCACTATAATTCTAGAAAATATACAATAATGTGGACCTAACATCTGGATAGAATTGCAAGTATTCATCCATGCAAATGTTTTCTCACATTTTCTTAAAAATAAATGCAAGTGTTCATGGAATAGCACGATAGTGTCATATTGAAGGTTCCATGATAACCCTCGTATGGGCATACCTGCGGATGTTTCTAAATTCCAAAGTTCACCATTTTTATATTTAAATCTTGAATTCTGCTTAAGCCGGTGCTAGGGGGTGTTGGCGGTAGTTTGCAATTGACAGTACCGTACATGAACAGGCTCAATCAAACCGAGCCTGCACCATTTTCAATTTTGCCGTTTTGGACTTTCTTTAGGGATTCCTATTTTCTATATTTCAGTATTTTTATTCCAGGGCACGAAATTTATATATGATATTAGAAGGAATTTGAATCATGTTGCGTTGTACTCTTTTTAATCTACTTAAACAAGTTTGTGGAAACGCATTGAACAATAGTTTTATAGCCAAACTATACTGCTTACAATTATGGCTATACCTGTATCTTCAAAATAATTTCTTGATACAGTGTATTGAGAGTTTTAGTTTATTTCATTTATTCCATAAGGCTATTCGCCCATGATGGCAATACAAGCATACATATATACATGTACAATACAAAATGAGCATGATTTATGTGCATAATACAGCGAACAAAATTAATATTAGATTTACATAAACTTTTCATTGGAGAAGGTCAAGCATGACATACAAAAGCTTAATATTCTTAATAATTTCATTTCATATCATTTAAAGTATGACTTTCATAAAAATTTGTTAAGACTAGTTATCTGAAAAACATTATTTTCTCCTTAAATTACAATCAGAATTTGTATATATATATACATTGAGATACATGGAGTAATATGTTATCTTTCTCGTAAAAAGAAAGATAACCCTTGCATGAATTTAGTACAATAATAACAATATTTATATATATAGTATAACAAGAACATACAAATTACATCCATTTTAACTACCAGCCTTACCGAAACAAAATGCAAGACGGGAATCATGGATTAAATTTAAGCATGAAACAT